ACAAAAATCACCTATATTAGAAGTTTCAGGATTTACTTTCAGGATGTGCATTAAAACATAATTAATGCACACCCATGTTGTATATATAATGTATATTTTTATTTTATTTATATAAGTGGAATCTGTTTATAATGATATCGAAGGGAATTGACAAACACGTCATTACAAGAGGACGTCATACAAAGGGTTTGGTAACAATTTTTTTTAAATGTAATTATGAATGTATTTTAATATTTTTAATAGAGCATAAAAAAAATACAACTAAAAAGTATAAACGATACATTTAAGAATGTAATATATGTATATTTAATTTAAAAAAATCTGTTATTTTTGCCTGCTTTTTTTATTTAATTGTAATAACAGTCTTTTTTTTATTTAATTGTAGTAACAATATTGTCTAAAGAAGACATTGCCATGGTCAAATTATCATTTTCAATATTGCTATGAACAAATCATGATAATAATTCTGCAACCTTTAATTCCTCTTCTGTGGTAGATAATGATTCTTCCTCGACTTCCTCTTCTCCATCACTTTCAAGTTAGCCACGTGCTAAGCGACGCCGGGAATCACCGTAACTTATCGGAAGCGTAAAAGTCATGTCGGTCATAATAACCGACATGTCACTATACGGAAAGTCGTTATATCCAAAACTTTTTTCAAGAATTTTATATGTAGACCAACCTTCGTTGTGTAATTACGTCATAATAGGTGGTTCGTCACTATAAGCAGTGTCATATTAAACGGATTCTACTGTAATATATATATCCTATACTAAAAATAAAAATGATGCAAAGTACACTATAAACTAATCTCACTTTCCCTAAATTTTAATTAATTCCATCTCCAACCTATGTTTTGAATTAAAATTCTTCCCACCCACAAAAGATATCTTTGTTAAGGCAAGCAAAACTAAGTTAAATTTTTTGTTAATACTTACAGGTGTTCTTTGTATTTGATTTAGATTTCCATACAAATTTTGACTTTTTTTCAGATGCTGGATCATTATTTATGTCACCACTAAAAATAAAGTCAACATCAATAATACATAATTGACTATAATGTTTTTTTTTTTCTTAATAAAAATTATTTTAAACATCCACTTTGGTTGTGGCACTCTGAGATAGGAGATGACCTTTTAGAATCCAGGCGACTGCTCTGAGCTTCATCAGAAGTTGCAATATTTGATTAAAAAAATCTTTTGGCTGTTTGCGTGGGTTTCCTAAACATTGATGAAAATACACTCTCTAATAGGGTATTTGACACTATTGAAAATAAGTTGCATTTTGTGGTCATCCTGATAGATAATAATCTAATAAAGCTTATTTCTTAACATCCGCAGAAAAAACATGTTTAGATTTAGTAAAATAACGTAAAGAAAATGCAATATTTTGAGGAATTTATTCAATGACGAAAACGTCCTATAATTGGTCGTCGTCACTACCAATCACAATTCTGTTTACTGGCCTGTGACGTTGTCAGCTGTCATGTCAAAGTAGTGATAGAAGCTACATAAAATATCGATGCCTGTAGGCATCGAGTACTTTATAGTAATTTACTGATAACAGAATACTTTGCCGCTTCTGCTGATAAGAACTGCCAAAAAGGAATACAGAAAGAAAGAATAACTAACTAAGGTTTTTTTTTTAATCCAAGAAATAGGGAATACGCCTTGAAAATAATTCAAAATTACAAAGTGAATTTTGATGATATATACTGTTCTCCAAGTTAAAAACTAATAAAAAATATCATTGGGATTTGACGTCTAATTATCAAGTGCTATGCCTTTGGGGGGCAGACATACTACATGCATGTATAAAAAAATAGTACATTCTTTTTCGTACTAATGTCTCATCCATCTGTAGGTCGACTGGCTGTAAAATGCGAGCCCTATCAACAAATATAAATGATTCGTAAAATGTTTATCATATAGATAAAAAAAAACAAAAAGAAAACCTTCAAATGTATTGATATGAAATAAAAAAGTTTCAATACTTTTAGCGAATCTTTACCTAATCTATTGTGATTGTGAATCTATTTTCTTCTAGACTCGAAGTTTGTTTGTTATTTATATAAGTATTAGTACATTGTGGCACTACGCACCACTTAAGACAGTTGTGACTTATCGATTTGACATATTTACTGGCCTGTGACGTCACAATCAGCGCCATTACATAGATCAGAATTTTTTGCGCGATTTTAGCTATTTAAATTTTAACAATTATTTTCACCAAAAATAGAAAAGATTCCTATGAAATATAATGAGTGTGCTTATAATGTAGCAAACAACAATTTAAAGTAGTTTTCGGAAAAGTGTCAAATACCCTATTGTGAAAGTTGTGAGTTCTTAAAAAAATTGACAGTCCTGTTAGGTTCTGGGTAGCTCAGTGGTTAGAGCAGTTGGGTTGGAATCCCATCTCACAGTGCCAGGATAAAGTTGATTTTTAACCATTTTCATAAAGAATATTTTTCAGTATAGCATTATGAATGCAAAATTGATCAAATATAATAATTATATTTTTATTTAATAGACAGAAAAATATTTATTTAAACTTCTTAGCACAAATAAAGCATACAAATGGCGGACATAATATAGACATTGATTATATACAATCCAAAAATATAACAGAATATAACAAACCAGACAAAATGTAGTACCCTTTTGATCAAAGGTTATGCCTATCAAAAGTTAGGTAACTAGTTATTACGTACAAATCTAGCTCATATAATACTATAATTTTTATTGATTTTAATTTCTTACGAGAATAAATACTACCTACCTAGGACTGTTTACAGCTTCTTCGTTATTCTTCCTGATAAAATTCATAAGCGTGGATTGTTTATTAAAGCTAATGGACTTTTTTGATGCCATTTAAATTTGAAGAAAGTCTGATATAATTTAAACGCTATTTTAATTTAAAATTAATTAAACTATCCCGTCCCGCGTACAAAAAGCTAGATTTTCTTCTTGTTTTTTTAATTCATAGCCTATTTGCGTTTACACAATTCCGCCAATGTGACTTTTGTGGTCTTTACATATAAAGAAACAATAATAAAAATGTGACAATTTTGAATTTTGGGATAATAGATGAAAGATTTGTTGTCATAGAGAAATTAAGAAAGTACCGTAGCGACATCTAGTTTGATTTCAGGTACTAATGTTTTTTTATATACTATTTTTATTTTTTTGTTATGGACTTGTTCAGTTGTACACGGAAATTTTGCCACATCCCGTTGTGAGAGTGATACGTGTATCAAGAGACTGAACGGTAGTTATAATTAACCAATTCTTCCTTGAGATTATTCTATCTCTACTAAAAAAAAAAAACAACACAAAAGCAAATATCACTATAACTACGATATTTAAACACATAAAAGAGGATTTTGCGATACTTATTTTTATAATTGGATATTATGTTTTTTAATAAATTTACAAAAACGTAGAAAGCCAGGTTTGTCAGAAATAGAAAGAAGAGTGTTAAAATTAACGGGACGGGGAGTTTTTGGTGGTAGTTGATTATATAAGGACGGATACTTTCTGTTGTGGATTTTTTGAAAATCTGGGGAACACACAACATGTCCAATATTCTGTTGAAGATTGGACATGTTGTGTGTTCCCCAGATTTTATTATTGTGTCTTAACGTGTAAAGACCACAAACGTGACATTAGCGGAATTGTGCAAACGCAAATAGCCCATAAATTAAAAAAGAAGAAGTAGAAGATTATTCAAAATTATAGACAACCACTTTTGCCATTGTGGCATTTAGAAGGAATAAAGTATCATATATTATTTAATTGACCTAATTTATCCATCTCCTTGTATGATTTGCTCTCATCAAAGTTCCTCGTCCAACAAGTATAAAATGTATCTTGAGTATGGAGAAACGCAGCCCATACAACATTTTATCTAAATTCCTGTCTATCAATAATAGTCTTAAATTATAAATATCTTTGTTTTCTATATAAACTACATTTGTATTGTAGTAATGAGGAAGTATTTTTAAAAAGAGCACTAAAAAGCATCTCCACTAGATGGCGACCCTAGCAAAGTTGATTTTTAAACGAATGGACTGAAGATATTCATTTCCGTTTCTTTTAACCAATATATTAAAAAACTGAAATCATAAAAAAACTTAAATATAAAAATATGAAAAAGTACAAATAGAATATGTGTTGTTTATTGAGTTTTAAAACTAATTTACTTTCGTACATAAAAGAAAACTGGAAAGTTGTCATGGAAAAATCAAGAAACTACCGTAGCGACATCTAGTTTGATTTCGGGAACTAATGTTTTTTTTAAACTTCCGCATTGGAATAGTTTTGAGGCATCATGATTAAAAAGATGGCATCTGAAAAGTAAGACAAGCATACAATGCTATATTATGGGAAATTTATTTTTAGAACTAAATGAATTTGATATTATACTCTGTAAGCAACTCTGTGAATCTGTGAAAATAATATTTTTGTTAAAGTCATGACATTCGCATATAGGATGGCCTCAAGGAGACCTAAAATTTATTTTTCTTTTTACTTGACTTGATCTTCTTCTTCTTTTAATTAATGGCGTTATCCAGTGTTTCGCTCAGATTAATTCATATATGTTTATGTTGGTAATTTTTTTGCATTGACAGATTAGTCATTTTTTTTTATATATATGACAAAGAAATCCAGCCTACTCTGTCTTGTCTTTGGTTAATTTTTTTTTATTGAATCTTTGTTAAATCTTTCAGCACGCACAATGCTATAAGTTCCTTTCGTCTTTCCTTTATGGAAAAATATACCAAAAATAAGAAAACGACTGGACTCCTTTATAATATGAAGGAGTCCAGTCGTTTTCTTATCAATGTCAAAGACACAGACTATAACTATATTATAGTTAACTATATTATACTATAACTATATTATAGTTAACTATATTATACTATAACTATATTATAGTTATAGTCTGTGTTTTTGACATTGATTGATTGATTGACGGACCTGACAGTGACAGCTTAACTTGCTGTAAAATTCGGTTCGGTTTTGTTGTGTCTACTAATGTGAATTATTTTTAAAATGTCTCTTAAAAAAGGGCTATACCTTACTAAAACTGTCTGTTGTACAACTATAAAGCTTCAAAATGCAAATTATTCTAGGCCAAAGTGTTGGTTATATACAGCGAATTCTGTCAGATATTATTCGGCCGAAAATATAGGTTAGTTTTTCAATATTTTTTTCATTGTATAACCTCACACTTTAGTTACAGTTTTACATAAATGAAAACTATTATTCTGACTAACTAAATGGTCATAGAAGAATTTGATTATGAAAATCAATAGATTTTTATATACGAAGTTTTTGGTTAAATACACTAAATAAACAAAATATTATTTTAGGCGATAAAAATAAACCTGATAAAGGTCCTGAAAAAGTGGACATATTGGGACGATTTTTCCCTCAAAATCCCATTACTTCTAATGATGCACAAGAAGTTAAGAAAGAACAAGAACAGTTTGAAAAAGAAAATAAAAGGAAGACTGAAGAAAATGAAAAAAGTTGGAAAAGAATGAAAATGGGGTAAGATATTCTCCACTTTAGATTATTTAAATGTATATTTCATTAAATCTACATTAACTAGCTATAGATATAAGAACAATTTATAATTATATTTGTCAGTTTTGCAGTTTTTGGTGGAGCCCTAACAGTTATGGGTGGGTGCCTGATTGTGGAGATGGGAGCACCGAGGCGTGGTGATGATGGCCAACCAATAGTAGATGAGTTCTCAGGCTTACCTATTGTATTGCAGTACCTGAAACGCACTTGGAAAGAACTTACATTTTATGAAAAGGTAGTTAGTTGTATTATATGCATATGTAGCATATGAAATTTATGTTTGACTATATTAACATAAACTACAAAGAATTTTGACTTTATAAATAGCAATAACAATTTTTGTTGGAGTGTATTGTAATGTCTTGAATATAAGTAATCAATTATGAACTTATTTGTTGATAAATAAAGTTTCAAAAATTTTAAAAACCCAATATGCTGTTAATCTCTCTTAAAAAAAATGTTCATTCTTCAATTAAAAATATTATTAATTTTATAAAAATAAAACTGAAACAGTTTTATATGAAATTCAATTTATTAGCTCACTTACCTCAAGTCAAAAACTAAATTCTAGTCTAAAAATTTCATATCTTATTATAGAAATAATTATTTACATCAATGAATACAATGACAGTGAAGGATATTATAAAATTAGTGAACTACTGTGATTAATTAAAACACACATTAAATTGAAGCTACCATCACCAGATGATCAAAGAGCCATCACGGGAGAAATTGCTGCCAGACCCATTGCCTCCACCATACCAACCAACATACACTCTAGTGTTAGAATTCACAGATGTGCTTGTGCATCCTGACTGGTCATATCAAACTGGCTGGAGGTGAGTATAAATCATTAGTAAATGTTCTTGCAATTTTTAAGTTATAATTCAGATGATGTGTTCATTATACACTTGGATTATCATCATAAAATTATTAAAGTTTGCTAGATTATAATTCATCCCATGTGATAGTAAACTGATGAAAGGGGTGATCCGTTATCAAGCTGGGTCAAAAAGGGGCAGCTGCCCCTCCTAGAGTTTCTAAGGGAGTTGCCTAATGTAAAGCAACCAAAGTCCAAAGTCTTTAACTTCACTTGCTTGATAGATCATTCCTGTATGTTGAAACTTGAATGATTATAAATAAAGCGGGAGAAGGGGATTGGTATACATTCAAACCCCTAAATTCTTTTTATTTCATTTTTAATTATTTTAATGTATGTAATAAATTATTTACAAGATTTATTTATTCTACAGTTAAGAGCTTGTGTAACTTTACAATTTGGATTCTGTGAAGTTGTTATTACACTTACCATATATGTAAGGCTCGTAAAAACCTGCATGTTCTCTCTTCTTTAGCTACAATTCATACTTTGCTCATTCTTCATAATTAACTTGTCGCCAACTCAACTGGGCCAATTACTGGCGCGCCCCTGATAAAAGATATACATAATTTCATGTAATTAAAAAATAAGTGAAAATTTAGTTTATTCATGTTTTGTCTCTATTCTATTGGAAAACTAAATGTACTATTTGGCTGTGGCAGAAACCTTATTACAAGAATACATTTTTAATCACTATATATTTGACTAGCTTTCCGCCAGCGGCTTCGCCCGCGTGGTCCGCTGGTACCTTACTCTTAGATCTAAACTCCCCTCCCGCACGCGCACCCCCGCCTTGGTGACGTCCACTTCGCAACGGGCCGTGCAGCAGATATCGTAATATTTTAATTTCGCCATAACTTTAAAACCAAACATTCAATTTTAATCATTCAAAGACCAAATATTATCTACATTATTTATTTTGATAAGGAATAATAGCATGAGTAAAATAAAAGTGTTTAAATGTAGTCCAAAAAAATGCAAGATTTTTAAATAAAAAAATGGTTGTTGTGCCTCACTCGACATAGATAGGTATTGTGTGTCGCGGACTTTTTTGTAGATATTTATAAGATCTACAATTAATTAGAACATTTTATGGTTCTATCTATTATAGTTTAGGCAGCGTACGCAAAATAAGTAATTTTTCTGGTTGATTTTTTTACACCTTGTGTCCGTAAAACCCAAATATCTTATGGAACCCTATTTTTTTTCCAAAATAAAATATAGCCTATGTTACTCGTGGATAATGTAGCTTTCGAATGGTGAAAGAATTTTTAAAATCGGTCCAGTAGTTTTTGAGCCTATTCATTACAATTAAACAAACAAACATACAAACAAAGTTTTCCTCTTTATAATATTAGTATAGTTTTTTTTTTGTTATTCCTTTGTACAAAATCAGTTTGCTAATTCAGATGTATCAGTCTTAAAGTTTAAATTGTGTTTCCTCAATTAAACGGTCAACAATTACACATTAAAAATTATTATCACTTCCACCACTTTCAAGATTCAAAAAGAGGCCAGGTGTGGATCAATTTCTGCAGACCGTAGCCAACTCCAACTATGAGGTGGTGATCTTCACATCCGAGAACGCATTCATGATCTGGCCCGTGATCGATAAGCTCGATCCAGAGAATAAGCTTATATCATATCGCCTCTTCAGAGACTCCACACATTTCATAGATGGAGTGCATGTCAAAAATCTCGATGGATTAAACAGAGACTTATCTAAGGTATGTGCGAATCTTAATTAGATGTGCATCTTCAGTAAGTAAAATATATATTTAAAGTATACAATAAATTACAAACATATTGTATTGCCAATGAGTTTTTAATTTTAATACAACAAAAACGCGTTTACTTGGCTGAAATATTTTGTGACTTATTTCAAAAGTTAAAATATACATTTACAAGTATTTTGGCCTATAAAATAGAATATCTATTATTATTATTTTTTAGTAATAAATGGGAAGTCAATAAGTTAATAAAGCAATTTTGGCAATTATCTACAGGTTAAGCACCCCGTGGCACTCCTAGCTGGAGGCCAAGCTCCCCTGAAAAATGTCTCTAGATATGAATGACTATGATTATGAAAATAAATTATATGTATATAAAAAATTATGTCGATTTCAAATTGTGTTATTTATTATGTAGCATCTCATTCAATTTTAACAATTTTGCAGGTAATAGTAGTAGATTGGAATAAAGCAGCTACGAAGTTCCACCCAGAAAATTCGTTAATATTGAAAAAGTGGAAGGGAGCAGACGACGACACATCACTTCTAGACCTAGCCAATCTACTACAAAGTGAGTATACGCAATAGGATGTATTACTTCAATGTTCTATAGCCAGATTGCAGAACTAAAAGTTTTGCATGTGTAATAAATATTTGATTATACACGACATTCGCTAAGTAGTAAGTGAGGAGTAAAGCAATAGGAGGAATATTTGGAATTTAATATTCTTTGAAACTTCTTTCTTTCTAACTATGAATTAGAAAGAGTTTAATAGGGATGTATACTACAAGTGAAAATTCAAATTTCTGTTATGTTTTCAGAAAATACGAACCAATTTAACTTATAAATATTTTACTGATTAAAATTATTACCCTGATTTGGAAAATATTAACCTAGAAAATTTGAAAAAGGTAGGGAAATTAATATATATTTATGTAATAACATAAATATATATGGCATTAAATTAGTTACATAAAGAAATAATTAAATAACTTTCATTATAACAACTATAAAAATAAACTTATCAATGACAAAGATATTAAAAAGATTGCCCTAATGCCCGTTGTTCGCTACCATACTGTCGGCATGACATCACTTCGCGGCTTGAATTTGTATGGTACGTTTTCGGCTTACTAGCAGCAGGGTTCACAGCTTGCATCTCCGAAATTATTAATCGCAGACATGTTACTTCTGCATTATTTCTCAGATACTAATGGATTGTTCATTTATACAATAAATTAATACACTAGACTATTGTATGTAATCATCTATCATTGCTGCATATTTGGCTGTAAAAAGGAAGGGAATTTATTTCCAAAATAAACTACAAAATGTACAAAAATATCGGTTTGTGTAAAAGATGTTCATTTGAAATTTGAATTTGCTGTTTCGGGAAAATATTTTAAAACTATTATGTGATGAACCACTATCAGAATTATTCTCTTCAAAGATAAAGGAAAAATATGTTATTATTCATTAATGTAAATTATCTCGCAAAACACTTAGTCACGTGGCATTTCGAGCCGTGTTTGCTTATTGTGGCATTTTAATAAATATGTACTGGTTGCACTCGTAACTAAGACCTCAAAGTTTAGTTCATTGAAATGTGACGTCACACGATGAACCGTCATAGCCCGTGTTTCGGTTCCTGTGATCCACATATTAATTTACACATAATATAAGTTGCCATTACGAGCATATTACATGATTAATTGTTATAACTATTAGTAGCCAATTAGATCTGAAGTATATTTTTATTATTCAATAACATTCGTACAGCGATCGCCATGTCCGATGTTTCCGACGTGCGTGAGGTGGTGATGTACTACAGTCAGTTCGATGACCCTATCGCCGCCTTCCGTGACAACCAGCGCCGCCTCTTAGAACAAATGGAGGAGAAGGAGCGAGAGGGCACTACTAACACTGCACCGCTTACACGCAATTGGCTGCGGACGTTTACGAGACGTTAATATACCCCTTTATAACTATGCAGCTGAACCTGATCGCTAGTCAGGTTTCTGGTTTTGTATTAAAACTGACATGAGTGAAGCAAATACTTGGATATTTACGATAAGCTTGTTAGATAGATCTAAACTCGATCAGCAAAGCTTGTAAGATAAACGAGGCGATGGATATATATTCACAATTTATGGTTTTTCAGATTTTCATAATTATGTAAATTGTAAACTTACTAATCTAGAGCACTATCTAGTGTTTTATTCTTGACTAATTGCAACAAGACTTTTGAAATGTAAAATAATTATTATACTGCTTTATGTTGCATTTTTAACTATGGGATGTAAAAGAAATGGTAAAATTATCCCATGTTTCACTAAACATGTGAATATGGATTCTACAGTGACCTTAGTTTACTGTACGCTATGCGGTATGGGCTCGTGTTTATAGCATCTATCTAGTGAACTATTTTTGGTCTATCTTAAACTTACGTATGTGTCAATTTTGAAAATTAGACAAGACTTGATGGAGCTCACGATGTAGTCAAATTGATTATGAAAGTACTAGCCATTTGCTTCCAGTTTAACCCTCCCTTCCAGCTTCCTAGCACCGCACATCCAAGAAAACCACCTGAGTACCGACATCGAGTACATCTGTCCGTGCCGGTCGATATCGCTCGTTTTTTTATTTATTTATTTCTAAATCTAAATCGTAATCTTTACGTAATCGTCTTTCACTAAATCCCTTTTCGTCTTTAACCAATTGCATGTTGAGCCTTGTAAAATACAATTAATGTTTCTTTAACGCAATTTAATAATGATTTATTGGCAATTCGAAGCGAACGGGTAGTTTTTTTCAGCAAGATTATTAATGGTGCTTTGAATTCTATCTCACCAGTCGCAATTTTCCTTTTCTAAATAGCAAAATCCAAAACGTTTCGCCAAGAATCAAATTTGTATGATAGCCCTACCAGTAAACTTTAACAGTAGCTGGTATTCTACTTTGCTGCCAAAGTCCCGTACTGAATGATTATGACCTATTTCTGTCTAACAATTATTCTCATAAATATATGTGTTAATACATCACGAGTATTATAGAAATATTTAAATAAAAAAAGCTGCAAACATTCTTTTTCGACCAATTCAAACCTACTCGTTCTCAATTTGAAAAATAAACTTAATTCAAAGTGTTTTTATTTATTTAGCCATTTTATTTAAAATTCTAGACAAGGTATTTCAATTTATGGCATAACGCGAGCACATATCAGCTTATTAAGCGTGTTGAGCGCCTAAGTTCTATGTCTGTTCCTAGGACTGGCAAAAAGTTGGCAATGACCAAAATATTATGTGAGACAAGAGATGTGTGAAATTTCTACAAAACTCAGTTGTGGAATTTACAAAAAGACCCAGGTTACTGAACTGAACTGAGGTTACTTTTATTGTAGATCTTTGATTATTAGGTAAATATGTACAGTGAAAACGATAGAGAGTTCTATGGATAACGATACGTATCGTTTACTTTCAACGCTCACTTAATATTTTGATTGGTTGTCTTTTTTGCCTGCACTAGGAACATACTATAGTAAAGAATAAGTGAGACAGTTATATGAAAAGTTGAATACTTCCAACAGACTAAACAGATTGGCGAACAATTTCACAGTACCGCACGGCTTGTTTAGTAGCACATTGTTTTTATTATAAAAAACACTAAATTGTATTTTTTTTCAAAATGATGCCCCATGGAATAAGTATTTATGAAATTACATGTAATGTAACAAACGGCACACCTATTTTATTACCATGCAAAGCGTGTTTATTCTACGGAGTGGCTGATTTTGATTATCTATGTGTTGACTATGGTTATATGTATATTATTCTAAGCGTTTTTTAATTTCATCTCTTTACGTGTTGATATGTACTAGGATTGAAATTAAAATGAAGTGAATGAAGTTTAAAGATTTCAGAGATTGTCAAGTCAGTTATTGAATGATTGTAAATAGGTGAGACCAATATTATTTAATGTAAAACAAGTCACTAATAATTACTAATGAATGTAATTTTAATAATATTTCTGCTACAACAATCTTAATTACTTTGAGAAAAGATTAAAATTACCTACATTTAGTAATTTACCAGTTGTTATGTTTATAAATTAATGTTAAATGTAGTTGTATGATTGCAATGTGAGTTTATGGGGATGATTGTTAATACCTCATTTTAGTTAGGCAATATAGTCCTCTATTAATAACAGCTCAGGTTTGTTTTATTTATTTATTTTATCATTCATCACTATCTTCATAGTGCAGATTTAACATTAATGATGACTGATCAGCACAAGTTTCCTCGGCGTTATGATCATCAACCCACGCGTCCATCAACTCCGGAAGCAATTCTTCGTTTTCAAATGCTTTGTAGATCTTAGATTCGTCATAATAATCCTTAGCATTCTTTGGGCTGAAACTGTAACTATCAGGAATTTTCTTTAATTTCTTCCAAACTTGTGACATATTTACTATAGATGAAACTTCAAATATATTTCTATCTAATTTATAGGATTTGCTCCAGTCGTGTAATCTTTGAACACTATCATCTTGTATAAACATATTCATATACTCAGGATATAGATTTCTAAAGAAAATATCTCCCAGTGAATTTTGTGATAATATGCTGAAATTTTCACCTTGGTCAACAACAACTTGTCCAGTTATAGAAGCAACTAGCCTATTCTCAATGGAATTGTGTATATCGAGGCATAGCATCTTAAGTCTTGCCTCTTTTAAAACGTCCAATATGTTAGGTGGATGATATGGCATAGTAACACCTTTAATTTCACACAATTCTATTACACTATTAGCGTAATTGCTAATCACGCAAGTATCCTCACACCATTGACTACTTATAGTGATGAGTTCTTTATTGCTATCGGCTTTATTGATCGACATGTATGTCGCTGCACATTTCAAACCATGCGTCCAGCGCTGTACAGCTTTCAGGTCCCTTGTCCTAGAGGCTCTTGTGTCCATCAAGAAAATGTGATGATCTGTCGCAAAAAATAATGAAGGGCTGTCTTCGCATAGTCTAGCGATAGTGATATCATTACAATACGTCGTATCCACAATTTGTTTAACACCTGTCCATTCAGTAACTGTATTATTTGTCCTCTTATCATATAGGGTTATAGCATCTCTCTCCACATGCATATATGAGCAGCGTTCAACTCCTATAATGCAGTTCCAATTGTTGATATTAGAATCACGATGTTGTTTTAATTTCAATACTTTTCTAGTCATCCTATTCATATTTGCCATTTCCAGTGTGCTATCTATTGCAGTTGCGTACAAGATATATGTTTGATGTTTATCAAAAGATATACCAGTGTATGATGATTCTGTTTCCAAATTTTTTAATTTTTCAAAATATATTTTATCTTCAGTTTCAATAATTTTTAATAGAAATATTTTTTGTTTAGTTCTCAATGCCACTATGTTTTGAGGAGAACAAATTGTTTCATGTACAGTGACGTCTTTCCCACAATTGAATTTTGCTGCAATTTCTCGTTCTGTAGTCATACTGTCTTTGTTAAATCTTGATAAATCTAAAAAAACAGTCTTAATATAGTTTTTGTAAAATTTTCTATCAATACATTATTACTACTAATGTCTCTTTGGTTGGAAAAGGGAAGGGTTGAACCTATCAGGGTTGGGTATACGGTATCAGGTTGAACAGTTATTCATTTCAAGTCTAGCAAATACACAGTTTACCTGCTGGAAAAATGACGAGAGAAAGCTCAGTAACATTTTTATCAATTTGGTAATTTTTAAATAGGTATATAATACTTACAAACAGTTCCAAATACACTGTAAAGCATGTAATCAACCCAGTTAACACAAATAATTTGCATGTTGCCGTTGCCTGTGTAGTACCAGTTATAAGTAGCATCAAAGTTTGGATCTGGGTCATTTGCTAACCGTGCTGCCAACTCTATTAGATACTTAGGACATTCCATCACTTCATCATTGAGCTGTTGATCCTTCCTCTCATTCATGGTCTCTACATCTATGGAAAATGACACAAGATTTTGAAAATTTAGGGCTTTATAATATTAGTTATTTTTTTTAAATGAACCCGGTTTGGATAGCCTCCACCGTTAAGTATGTTACTATACTATAACATTGCAACAATATTAGAATTTTGTGAATTAATAAAATATTTATATATGTATATAAAAATACCATTTGACATTTTTAAGTAGCTGCAAAATTATAAGTTAAGATGTAGCTTCCTGTAGGTGGGAGAATTATAATATATAATAATAAAATCTGTCCAGTAGTTTCGGAGTCTGTTTATTGCAAGCAAACAATCAAATTATTGATCATGTCTTCTATAAACGAATGGCACATGGAATGGCATAAATCCAGTTCCTTCCTAATACTTGAAATAGACAAAGTATGCTTACAACACAAAAGGAATAAGTATTTAAACATTTAACCATACTTTTAAGTAAATATATAAATTAATATCAATTCTGGAGACCATTTTCAAAAATGACAACTTTTCCTTACAAGTTACACCCAAATTCATAAAAAATCCTCAAAATATACCCTTTATGGTGAAAGGTTGCAATTACTAATGAGAAAATTGTATAGAGTGGTTCATGGATATTCAAATTCTAAATTAATTTTTTTGTCTGGCAGTTGTTTTAATTATACCCTTACCAAAAAGGAATTGTTATAGACCAAGTACTACTTCAAGAAGAAGAGTACAGCTTAAGGAAATGTTCCTTTCTCTTAGAAAATTATGAATAAGTTCTTATTCACGTCCTTGAACTGGAATGAGATCAGGAGTCAGCAAATTTTAAATATAAAAACTCACTTTTGTTTTCTAGAAGTTTGCATCCATGTGCCATGCCATTATAGAGTAATTTGCAATGGCAGAGAAAGCTAATGTCAAGATATTAAAGATTTACAGTGCTGAATTGTTACCAAATATGATCATTTAAAAATAAAATCAAATTACTCATTAGGTACTACTTACAGCAAGCGTTCATCTTCAACATTGTATTACCGTGATGCCAATCATATTTTTGTTTCAATGGATCAGCAACAGGATCAGATTCACCAACATTTTTCATTTCAGTTATAATTCTAGGCATTGTGCTTCTATATTGGAATGGCTCAAAGTATTGAGCATCTATAGTTCCATCCCAGTTGTCTTTGAAATACTTGAGTGGATGTCCAGGTGTAGTGTAGTGAAGGTCAGTGCTAAATACACTACGCCGTTGTGCTATAAGTTGGTGATAAAACTTATATGCTTTGCTGTGTTTATGTAATTGTAACATTTCTTTAACAATTTGTGGCAATGGTGCTGCATTATCAACTACTATTTCACGATCCAAAGCTGTGTCTTTAAGTTTTAACTGTAAACAAACATTTATATCAATTTACCAGATAAACATGTATTAAACCATAAAATTATTTCATACTATGGTCATTTCTACGTATCCTTCATTTTGAACTTAATGCCAATAGCAATAAGGTGTAAACAAATCATAAGGTTAGTTTTTATCTAACGCTAAATGAAGTTTCATAAATCATGATAAATTATTACTATATGTGAAATTATGAGAATAATGTGAACCGAAATCTTTCAAAATTGAAATATAAATGCGATGTCGTCATCGGATCGGATATCCAAAACCTCATTAAATTACCTACCTTTGTCTCTTTTACGTTATTACTCATATTTATATGGATGTGGCAATTATAATTATTTTATTATTAGATAAAATATAGCTCTATCAGACACAGGCCACAAGGCACAGAAGTAACTGTATTATTTTATTATTATTGTACTCTTTGCACAGAAGTTGAGAGACGCAGTGGTGGTAGTATTTATATCATTGAAGTCATGGCGGGGCTGGGACTGGGACTGTGCGGGGTCCCTTTTTGGACCCCTCTTTTTTTAATTCAGGCCTATTTGCGTTTACACAATTTCACCAATGTCACCTTTGTGGCATTTACAATGAGGAAGTATTAAAAAAAACAATAGTTCAAAAAACCAAACTAGATGTCGCTACGGTATGTCCTTGATTTCTCCATGACAACCCGTCGGGCGCTTGTGCACTACACTGAATTTTCAGATCCAGCGGTCCGATTTTTTCCGGTCCGGAAAGTCATGAAAAACCCTGATGAGTAGCTTGTGCACTTGTCCGTTATTTTCCTGATCGGAGCGGCGCAGTGTAGTGCAGCTCTCTATGAAGCTACACGTCACTTACGGTACGGTCGGTAATTGCGTTCGAAGACGTAGAAAGATACCTAAATAATAGGGTATTTGACACTATCGAAAATAAGTTGCATTTTGTGGTCATCCTGATAGATAGTAATCTAATAAAGCTTATTTCTTAACATCTACGAAATGTTTAGATTTAGTAAAATACCGTAAAGAAAATGCAATATTTTTAGGAATTTATTCAACGACGAAAACGTCCTATAATTGGTACATAAAATATCGATGCCTGTAGGTATCGAGTACTTTATAGTAATTTACTGATAACAAAACACTTTGCCGCTTCTGTTAATAAGAACTGCCAAAAAGAAATACAGAAAGAAAGAATCATTTACTAAGGTTTTTAAAAAATCCAAGAAATAGGGAAAACGCTAGCAATTTAAAAAAAGAGCACCTTACATGTTTTTCTCATTTCTTGAACTTCAATATAATAATTCAAATTACAAAGTGGATTTTGATGATTTATACTGTTCTCCAAGTTAAAAACTAATAAAAAATATCATCGAGATCTGATGTCTAATTATCAAGTGCCATGCATTTAGTGGACAGACATACTACATGCATGTATAAAAAAAATAGCACATTCTTTTTCGTACTGTTATGTCTCATCCATCTGTAAGCCGACTGGCTGTAAAATGCGAGCCCTGTCAACAGATATAAATGAGTCGTAAAATGTTTAAGATACAGAAAAAAAACAAAAAGAAAACCTTCAAATGTATCGATATGAAATAAAAAAGTTTCAATACTTTTATCGAATCCTTACCTAATTTTATCACCCATCTTTACTCTATATAGCTACTAATCTATTGTGATTGTGAATCTATTTTCTTCTAGACTCGAAGTTTGTTTGTTATTTATAGAAGTATTGGTACATTCTGGCACTACGCACCACTTGTAGCTCATTTTATAAAGAAAAGTAGAGGAAAATAAAAAACGTAAAAAATACGCAATACGACTTCAATTTCTCTTCTAAATAATTATTTTAATTTACTCTAGGGATGATCGATGTTGAATAAACATCGATGTTTTAAATTGGATAACATCGGCACATCGATATTTTCGTGCCAAACATCGATATTTATGAATAAAATGTCAAGATACCCTTTGGGCCATCTAACGTGCTCCAGATGTACTATCTAGATGATCTCGTATATCAAGTTCAACTATTTTATACTAGATGTCACCGGTTGCACTCATAACTGGAGTACGCAAACAAATAGCTTTTTCTTCGCTTGCATTTTCCTAGGAAATTAGAAATAAATCTGTTAACTTCAGTGCTCGTTGGTATCTTATAAGTTTCTTTATTCACCGGTCTTAGTTTCAAAGATCCACTGATCCCATCCTCTTCAACTGTCTGAAACAACCTACTTCATATGAGCAACTTCCATCTAAAACCCCCCGTCCCATTAACCTTAATACTATCTTATCTATTTCTAACATACCTATATTTTTGCGTCTTGTAAGCGTATTAAAAAAATATAACACACTAAATATACTAAATACACTATAATCTACATGGCACTATCATATATTTATTGCGATATATTTTTTTTAATTTATTAGTACAATTTGTGACGTTTGCTTTGTGTTGTACTTTTAGAACAAGGGAGGAAGAAAACTATTAAAAACCGTTTCTCATTATTCCGCAAAATTTCTGTGTAAAACGGAAAAAGGTCATTTATGTATATAAAAATTTTTTTTCTCTCTCCGTGAAACTCCCGCGTGATTTTTTATGACACTTGTCTTATTCCATTACTTTTATGTTAAGGGGTAGAATCCACCTATCCCACATTAAAAAAGAATGTATTAAAATATTTATGTTGCACAGCGACTACCACGACTTCAGAGAGGCTTTTTACTTAAGCTGGTCAATTCCTTTAACAGCAATGCAATCGATGTTTGGGGAACATCGATGGTTTTCATCGAATGTTGACTTCGATGTCAATATCGATGTTTTTCCAATTTCGATCATCCCTAATTTACTCTAAAGACAGTTGTTACTTATCGATTTGACACGTAGACAGAGAAAGCAATAGACTATTGGTATGTTCTATCTCATTCATCGGGAAATAAAATGACTTATTACAATTTTCATTAGTTAAAGTGAGACAAAAACATTATTTGTTGTCCTTATCGACGTGCCGGTTTTTTTGTTTGGCACCAGGCTTGTTTGGCACCAAAACGTCAAGATTTTAGGCATAGAAATTGTTGGACTCAAATATATACAAAAAAAGTTGGAAAGAAGTGTATTTAAACAATGTTTTATATAATGTATAAAGTTTATATGTAAGAAACGTTACTTGCAAATTAAAATAATGGTTAAGTGCAGTGTTATATCTTGCAAAAATAGATCCGAAAGAAATATTGTAGGTCTATCATATTTCAGGTAAGTTAGAAGAATTTTGTTTATTTCTTCGTAAGGTAAAATTTTTCAATGGCATAACCGATGTGAATTTTATTAAATACGACACAAAACAAGCTAAATATATTATTAAATAAGTCGAATAAGAATATAACCTCAAATCATTAAGGCTGACATCTAAGTGCTTAAAATCTCCCCTCAAAGTGCTTTAAAATTAAATTATCAATATTCTGTTAAACAAATATCAAAATGTTTGAAACTCAACTATTTTCAAAGTACATAGAACTACAAAATGGGATTTAAAAAAACAATTGGGCAGTTTTTAAACTTTGTATTAAAATAAATCCAAGTTTGTAACCTAAAATATTAGCATTTAAAGCCTCTCAGTAAAGTTTTGCATGATACTATTAAAATACCGCTTAATTTACTGTAATGTAATGTTAAATTACATTTTCTAGACTTAATTGAATATCATTTCTGTATTTAGAATCACTAAAAATTGTGCTATGTATTTGGTTAGAAATGTTTGAGTTTATAGTAGATAATATAACTAATTTTATCAATAAATCTCGGCCAAATGTGTTTTTTCTTCATAAAATATTGTTATTCCATATGACAATCATATTATTATCATAATGATGACCTCAATTTTCCAAATTAAAAATTGATATTAAAAAAAAAGTGTTTTAGTAATTGTGTTTATATTTTAGATTTTCATCACATGAACATGAACTTCAAAATTGATTGATAAATGAAACTGAACTTCAAAATTGGATTGAAGCTTGCGGAAGACCAAATTGTAAGCCTTCAAGACATGCCAGGGTGTGTTCAATGCATTTTGAAAAACATTTATTTTTAAATGTAGGAAGACAAACAACATTGAGTACATAATAAGGATTTTATTAAATAGATATAATAGTTAAATACTTATTATACAAGTGAGATATTTTTGTTTCTTAATAAATCCACTTTTATAATACCTTCCTCAAAGGGATATACACAATGTAACAATAGGAATGGTAAGTATAGAAAAGTCTGAAACTATAAGATATTGTATGTTAGTATTATTTTGTTGGTTTCATACAATATTAATTAACCATGTAAAACCTTTTTAGATTGAGAATCTAAACTGGACTTTTTGAAAAATAAAATATACATAATTTATACTAGATACTGATAGTCTAAGTTTTAAACTTTTAATGTTATTATTAAATAAGAATTGCCTTCATTAAAAATTAATCCTATATCTCTATACTTGCTAGGAAATTTTAAATACTATGTCAGTTTAAATATTGATTTGTTCGTGGAGTTATAGTTTTTTTGCACTTGTTAAGTAATTTTTATTTACCATGCCATAATTGTTGTATAAAAATATGAGATGTTCATAATTTAGTCGCATATCGGTTATTAGTGTTGTGTAGACAGAACCACAGATCATATTCTTCATAAATATTATAACTTATTTGTGCCATAATCTAATCTTCAAATATTATCTGTGCTATCCTTTTAGAAATACACTGATTATGATTTGTTTGTATCTTTATAATAAAGAAATGCTAGAAAATATATTGTGAAATAATATTGGTTATTATGTTTTTTAAGAATTCTTATCTATGATTTAAGAGTAGGTATTGTAAGCTCACTAAAATATGTTTTTTTTATTTTGTATTAAAATATAATAATAATGTATCATTTTACTGTATATTAACATTCATTTTCATATTTTTAAAAATCTTTTGTGTGATAAGAATTCACTGTAACAAAGAAAATTGTGCTCTAATTTGTGATTGGATAACCAAATAAAAGCCAATTTTAATTTATAATAGTATGTATTAAGAATTCAAATTTTGTTTAATGGCTTTTAAATATATTTAACATTATATAGTATTAATTGTATTAGGCGAATACTTATTTAGATTAATTACTCTGGTGTACTTGCTGCAGTTAAGTAGACAATTTATTTACTTTTTGTGATCGAGTAAGTTTATTTTAACTTATAAGTAGCATAATTGCTATTTTCAATATGTGATTAATACATGTGATATATTTAATTATTTGTAAAATTTTTGTGGAAACGAAGTTAAATGCTTTTTATTTTAGTACCCTCTTTGATTTCACCCAACCTGTAACTTTATTTAATATTGGTTTAGTAATTGATAATTATTTTCATTATAATTATTAATTGATTTTTCTAATAAGTCATAGCTCTTAATAAATCTCACACACTCAACAGCGTACATCGGCAGAATAGATTAAAATAGGTCTGCAGGTGTAATGATTTACACTAATTTTTATTATTAAAAAACCAAAAATGTTGAAAATTAACTTTCCTTTATTGTCTGGGGTCTGTGAGTTCTGAGTATTATGGTACCCTTGTTGTCACAGATACTTCAAAATACGGGGTTTAGTACTCCAAAATATACATCTTACAATATGAGCCATGTATGTGATGTTGAATGTTTATTTATCTATACTAAATATTATAAAAATTAAAGGTTTTATTGTTTATTTTTTACACCGAATAGGCTCCGAAACCATTGGACCGATTATTATATTTGATCAATCTCAAACTACCAGGGACAAAGTGGTTTTTAAGCATTTTTATTAAGATTACTGAACCGATTTTAATAACTCTTTCACATACGGGTAGCTACACCATACGCAGTTGACATAGGCTACAGTTTACACAAGCGATGTCGCGTGACAATAGCTATTTTATAGATATTCTAGTTTGAGATAAGAAATCTTCTGGGACTGGTTCTAGAATTTGAGTGAAGTATCGTGGTGGACTAACGAAAACCGTCAAGTCTCTTTATGAAATCGACCAGGATAACGGATACGACAGCAGTGGTGCACAAACGCTCATACCTCGAAAACACTAATACGTGCTCTGCTAATACTGTCTTGAAGTAATGAAATCCAGAATCTGATTAATTACTGATCAAAGTCAAATATCTCTGCAGGCTTACATATTTGTTTTCGATCAATAATTATTAAGATTCTGGATATCTATTTATTAGTATTTCGTAACTAAATATGAGACTAAAATATTCGATTGGATTAGTCAGAATGATAAAATACTTTGTGGTTACTAAGATCTACTAAATATCAACCTGTGTCAATAGTTTCAATGTTTTATTTCATTCTAAAATAACCTAAGGTTTTAAAAAATGGTCTTTCTAACAGCTATTGAGTAAACATACAGTGGCGCTGCTGGACTGACGTTAGCCCAACATCATCACAATGTTTCTTATTTGCCTTTCTAAACATAATTTTATAATTGAATAGGTACGTTATTCTCCTTTAAACGGTTTTCTTTATTGTCTATAGATATATTTTTTAATTTTGGTTGAATTAAATTTTCGAAATAGTTTTGTTTGTTTAAATTAAACTTTTTTGAGCATATTCTAATTTAGTAAAATTTAATTTTATTTCGAAAACTTCAGCAACCAAGCCCATTGATTCAATGTGCTAGTTAATTTAAGATGATAGATAGTGTATCAATATTTCTACAAAAAAAAAGTTCCTCTATTACTAATCCTTTCATCCATGGGAAGTTACATCATACGTGGTTGACTACAGCTATAATTTGGTGAAATCGCAGAAAAGTAGATAGTTTCTGAACATTTCTACATATTATGCTGACTAAATTATTCCTCCTTTGCTAATAACAAAATATCTCCCCATAATCGAGGAACATTTAACTATCTAGTAACACTGATGATTTATTTGTTGTCCCTTACGGTGGCACGCCTAATAACCCTCTATAAGTACTTACTCTAAGTATACATATTGAATTTGCAAGATAACATTAATTAATTTGACAGTGAACAATTGTGATCCATTGATATAGGATGATAAATGAATGGTTATTAGAAAAAGTGGAATAATTGTATCAAATCGCAAAACAAACGTAGAAAAATGCAATGGAATAATGTAAAAATTATGTAGTTTTTTATTTGCAAAATAAATAAGTTATATCCAAATTGGGTTTTATTAAGAATTAAATAAATATCAGTGTTTAATAAAAAATAAAGGGTATAAACTAATGTAACGTGTATAAGTTTCGTACAAGTAGGTGGCAAATTCAGTTTCATCAGAACAAGGTTTTTCATAATTATATAGAGGTAAATCATCAAGTTTATCAACAGAAACATATTGTAGAAAGCATCTGGAGCAATGATTAATTGGTAGTATGAGCCCTTAAAGGTACAAACATTGGCATGATTACAACTTAAATTCTTCTAATTGGAACCACAAAACACATCAAACTCTTCTACAATATTATTTTTTTAATGAAAAACTGTTATTTTTCTATTAGTTAACTAGGAAAAACGTGTCATTTATAAATATTTTTACGACAACCGAAGGAAAATGGCCGGTAGGCAAATTTGACAGATAAGCTACGGATAGTAAGTTTGACAGCTCTACCGAAAGATATTGAAACACCTGTTTGCGCCATTTTCATACATTTTGCCTACGAACGGTTATCAGTATCAGTTCAATCCGTTAGTAGCACACCGTCGGTAGCTTTACCTACCAATGGTATGTTATTGAAACACTTTTTTGCTACCATCGGTAGGAAATGCTACGTATGGTAGCAAAAACGGATAGTTTTTTGGTTATTGAAACCAGGAGTTTGTAAGTTTAAACAAATACCTACATAATATAAATAAAATACACATTAAAAAACTTATGACATATTATTTATTTAAGTAATAAAAACAATATAAAAAATAAGCGACTTGGATAAAATAATAGAGAAGCAAAGTGACATCTAGTGGCAAAAGAATCAACTCAATGTGCCGAGTTGTCACGATACCTCGAGTGTTAATTTTTTCCCTCGAAACTTGTATGAAAAGTTCACTCGAGTGACTGCAGGACTAGAGTTACACTAGTTTGGTCTGTGTCAATTGGAGATTTTTTTCTTTCAATCTCTATTTAGTTTTGCTTCATTTAGAAGTTATAATTATAATTTACATTGGTGTTTTGAAGTGGATTTGATATGGGAATCAAAGAGGCAAATATTTATTTGGATAATCAATGTAATACCTACTATGCTGGCCAAACGGTTAATGGAAGAATAGAATATGTGTTTGATAGTCCAAAGAAAGTAAGAGGTATGTATGCAAATATTTTTTGCTATATGATTTATTAATGACTCACTATGACATGTTGCTACATACATCATGGTATCATAATAAACTACATCATTTCTATTTATATTATAGGGGTTCCTATTTAGAAATTAACCAATGAATGTGACAATTGGTTAAAAACATTGATTCCATACAGTTTAAATATTATTGGCGAAACGTTTCTTTAGGTATATGTAAAGATTTGGCCCAACTATTCTATCCTTGCCTTAAAGTATCCCATTTATTATATTGCTTATCTAATTTTGTTGGAGAATAATAATAGTAATATTTTGTATCAATTTCTGCCTGCAATAAATCATAATTAAATAATTTGTTTGTCCACAATCTGCAAGTGTCATGTATGAGGAATTATAAAAATTTTGAAAAGTGAAGCCAGTTTTTAAAATTCTTTAGCTAATATGTTTTTCTCTGTTTAATTTTATGCTATTGAGTAAATATTGCAAGTTTGTGTAGTATAAATAGTCCTATGACTTGATTTAGCACTCATACCATAAATAACTTGATAGATAAAAAACGGGTTGAAATGGGGAGATTTTGTATGGGCATGTCACACACTAGACCTGTTTCTTGAGTCTCTTGATTTTGTTGATTTAGGGTTGTCATTATTTACCTGACAGAAGATGCATTGCATATCATCATCAACAAGTATATGATATGGGTTTGAACTTGGAGCTAAATAAATGATGTAAATTTTTTTACACAACATTTGAAATTGGCAGGTATCCATGTCAAATTCAAAGGTGAAGCCCACACAGAGTGGTCTGAAAGCAAAGAAGAACAGGATGCGCAAGGAAAAACAGAATCAACCAATACAATGCATACTGGAAGTGAAGAGTACTTTCAAATATCTTATTACCTTCTCGGAAGTAATAATGGTAAATTAAAAAAAACATACACTTCCACACAAATTTCAACTTAGAGGCAATAAACTGGGTGTCCACTTTCTAGAAAATTAGTGAAAGTCAGGGAAAAGTCAGGGAAGGAAAAGATGGTCAATGATAGTCAGGGAAAGTCAGTGAAAAAATTCAGGCCAACTGTGAATGTAGGGAAAAATGTAAATTTTTTTCTTAATTTCTTTTTTCTCTTAGTCCCATCTCAAAGTAACAGGGACATAATGGATTTTTTAACCATATTTCATTATATATATTTTCAGTATATGAATGCAAAGTTTAACAAATATAATCTATACAAATCTTTGTTAAATTTTATTAGAGAATTTAAATTTAGAGCTCTCAAATTGATCATGAATATTTCTAAATCAAGTGTTGGTAGTATTTATTTAAAAATAAAGACTTATAAACTATATATTCGGCCTGTCTTGTAATTCGGATTGTAAGTTTTCTTTAAGCACTATATATGTAGTAGAAATCTATTACTGTGATATTAGGTGCTAACTTCAAGGCTTTTAATTTTCTTCAACAGCAATACAACATGCAAATTGATAAGACCTGGTAAAACTGATACTTTTTTGTTAGTTTACTATCATGCGATCAGTCCACTTGCTTTATTAGCAGCTTTGTTTATGAAATTGATGTTCAGAGAATTGCAGCCTATGCTGTTTTTCCATGTCTGGTGTTTTGTGTCTCTTTAGGTTTTTGAATATTTCTGGATTCGTCGATGTATTTGGATGATGATCTTGCCTATTTTTATATTTCTTTAGAATCATCTTGGCCATTTCTTCCTTGATGTTGCTTGGGTTACCAGCAAACCATGTAGATGCGTTGAAAATCTTTTTAAAGATGTTTCATGCTCTTTGAATTTTGTTAATATTGGTGTGATAGATTCTCTTTCCCAAGTCTTCTTAATTATTATCTGCACAAAGTATGCCTCGTTTTTCGTAATGAAACATGTGAACCATTACGAAGACATGAATCAAAGAAACAATTGCTCAAGACATTTCATATAAATTTTTAAGAAATTCTTGTCAGTGGGTTAAAGAAGGTGTGATAAACAACAGCTGCTGTCACTTGCTGATGCCCATAGTTGAAGTCCATAGATCAAAAATTGTTTGAAGGATAACATTATATAAAACTAACTTAGGCTTCTTTGTACACAGTATAATCTGCGAAAGTAGTCACGATTATTTCCACAGTCTCCGTTACATCAGACATAAAGATGATGTACAGGATCGAGCCAAGGCCTCATCTTGAGGCACTCCAGCTTGAATTTCATGAAAAGTTGATTTGCAATTGTTTTCTTTAACTTGGAATATTTTGTTATTGAGGTATGATTTCAGTGCTCGTGCCAGACTATCAAACGCAGAAAAACTGCGTAGTAATTTTCCTTCCGCTCAAACGTGTCTCCGATCAATTTGCACACTTTCTGGGCTTGTCCCATGGAGGGGTGTACCATTCTAAAACCAAATAGGGATGATGACTGGGTAAAAAAATGGAATTATATTTAGTCCGTCCGTCAGATAATAGAAAAATATTAGAAACGTATTTTTTTTACTTCAATTTAACTTCAAACTAAACTAAATTTCAATAAAAAGAAATAGCTTAGATAACAGGCATTAAAGTTGAGGAGTGGGGGCTCGCTACGTCACAGTTGAGTAGAAAACGTACTCTAACGTGATGTCATGCATAATTTCAAGTCAATGTAACGCAGTAATTTTATGATTACGAAAAAAAATAAAAAAATACGTGTTTAATATTTTTTAACACTACCTGACGGACATACAAACAAAAATTAGTCATCATCCCTATTGGTGATCTGGAATAATTCCCTTGTGTGTGAGCTTGTTTAGCATTCGTTTCGGTAGTGTTATTTTTTGAAGTTTAGATATTAATATCTGAAGACTAATGGATCGTTAAGGCGTTAACGTCATGTAGTGGTTTACCAAAGGACATTGCTCAACGTCCATACATTGGTGGCCCCAGAGCCTAAAAAATATAGGAAAATACTTATTTTATTGTGTGTCACTAACTAATTCTCATTATGTATTTATTATATCGCGACCGAGTTTTAGAACTTATTATCACGCAAAATATAATTCATTTAGAGGTTATAATTTGTTTGGAAACCACCAAGAGATGGCACTCTAAGTACATGATATGATATTGAAGTCTGTATTGTCGAAGCAAAAAAACTCAACTTTAAGAAAGTCTGTTTTTCGTTGTGATTTGTAAAAGTTTCTAAGTCAATCAATAGACAAATAAATCATTCTAATAGTTAAATAATATACCTATTGATAAGCTTAAATTAAAAAACCTATAACTTTTTGATGGTTTACATCAAAAGATGGCGCCTTAAATACATAAATGACATGATGTTAATATGTTTACGAGAAATATAAAGGTAATGTAATAGAAACAAAGTAGTTTTTAGGATATGTCGTATGAATAACAATCTTTCTGAATAAACAAGAGTGAATTATCAACAGTTAATGAATTTAGTTTGTATAATATTCAATTTTTATGTCCTTATGTTTTAGTTGGAAAATCACCAAGAGACAGCGCTTTTAGTAAATTTAAGTTTATTTTCGGTCAATTTAATTTAATGTTTTTGTGTTCGATGATTTAAAGGTTATCTAATAAAAATAAATGATCTTCTTGATCTGACGTGTAAATTACATCCATCTGACTCAATAGAATTTAAGTATATTGAATGTGAATATTTGCGAATAAAAATGTTACTGTTAAAGTACTTTTAAATATTAATTTTGGATCGCAGCTTGTCCGTGTCAAATAAATATTTGATTCCAATTTAATAAATAAATTAGTTATTATTATTGAAGTATTAATATTTAATGGTATTGGGGCCATTTTCGGCGATGTCCTTTGCTATTATGATTTGTGATACATTTCACAATGATGGGAAGTATTCGACTCTTGTGACAGTATCGAATAATATAATTGAGTACACTATCTTTTTGTAATAATCTACCAATACCAATTAAGTCAAATCCAAGTGCGTTTTTGTCCTCCATATTATTGATTTAGCGAGGTGTTGCCCTCGGAACTGGCATGTCAAAGTTAAAATAATCTTTAATCAAATCAAAATAGAGAAAAAAAAAAAACTATGATCTTATGATGATAACATAAATAATTTAATAAAGGTACAGTTGGAAATCTTGCTAAAGCTCGTTTTTAAATAATACTCTCGAACTATCATTATCTTCGTTGGGTCTAAATAGTGAGGCTAAATGGATTGTTAATGCATCCGCCTTTTCGTATAGAGAATGAGCCTATTTATTATTTTGCAAGCATATTGTGATTATTGCATATTTAATATCATCACCAGTTTAAAGTTTGATATGAAAATTAGTTCATTATCTTTGATTTCCCGGTATTGATACCAATCAGTGCCTTTGTTGCATAGTTTGGGGACTTGTGTTTATCAGTATGGTGATACTAATTGTTAATATAAGTTTGTAATTTGATTCGTAGTTCTTCCAGGCATGATTCTATTTAGGCTGAAAAAGTCCTTTTATAACAAATCAATCCAGAATGTCAGGAAGCTTATTTGGGTCTATGGCACAGTACAGCAGGTGCATTCGAGACCCGACCGAGAGATAATATGTAGAGCCCAAAGAAATATATCTAGTGTAGAGCCTAAACGTGTAGGGCTGCCGCTTATAGGTTATTCAATCGTCAGAAATGCATGGTCAATCAATCTTTAAAATATAGTTTGCCCCTGGTATGGTAAGCATCCGGGAACTATAATACAACTTCTTAATGATTTTTTTTTATAGACAAGGAGCTGATTACAGTTTTTTCGTACCTACATCATGTCAGCAATTTAGTGTTTTGTAAAATTACAACATGGTTTTAATGAATTATCTAATTATTCATTTTTTTCCACTAACTAATCAAGCTACGAACAAAATAAGATAATCATCATCATCAGCCCTTTTACGTCCCCACTACAGGGGCTCAGGCCTTCCTTATGGATGGCTAAGCAGGATGGGCCATGACCCTCCACGCTGGCCCAATGCCGATTGAAGGGCCGACCTTAATTTTTAATAATCATGTGCTTTGTATAGACAGTTTCTATCTATGGCCCATATTTTTTTATATTACATTGTCTAATACGCAAATATACAATTCAATATCAATTTCAATTTGGGGGTAGGGTAGCCTGGGTACGGTTGTAACAGAGTACGGTTGTAACAACTCGAATATCATCGAAACTATGAATGGTAGGTGAGGGGCAAAAAGCGAAGGGCACGCGGGTAACAAGTCTCGACACGATCGCCAATGTAGAGGCACCTTTCGCGCGGTAATAACGCTTACAAGGAGGCCCCTTGTGTTTTGTCAACCAAAAGTAAGTATTTCTGGGGTATTTCTTTATGATATTTATTTATTTATTTATTTAATCTTTATGCCTATAACATAGCAATGGCGGACTTAATGCCAAAAAGGCATTCTCTACCAGTCAAACCGGTGAAGGTGTACAGAGCATTCAAAAGGCGGTATCATAGAAGAACAAAGTTACAATTTATAACTAATTATACCAACAAATTATATATAAAATACAAATATATACATACACACTATAAACTTATATAAAAAATACATAGACATACAAATATATATATATATATATATATATATATATATATATACATACTGATAAACGAAGACTAGGACACACGAATTGATTGGAGATAATATTCTCGTACTTTTCTCTTAAATACGAAACTGTTTGACACATTCCGGATATTTAAAGGAAGTGCATTCCAAAGTCTTATGGCTGTGAGGGTAAAAGAATCCGAGACAAACCGAGTATGGTGAGCAGGAGTTTGAAGTACAAGATTGCAACTGGAGCGAAGTTCCTTCGGATGTGAGACTCCTAAGAATTGAAACCTAGATTTCAAGTACTCAGGAGTATGTGGATCGTAAAGAATTTTGAAGAGAGAACATACTATTCTCAAGAACCTGCGTTCACGGATGGGCAACCATTTCAGTTGATTACGAAATTCAGTGATATGGTCGTATTTACGTAGACCGAAAACGAAGCGTATAGTATTATTCAGTAGACGATCCAATCTGTCTAGAAATATTTGGTTCATGTTAGAAAAACAAACATCAGCATAATCAAAGAGGGGATGAATAAGCGCCTGCACGAGGACAATCTTAGTACTGAACGGAAGAAAATTTTTTAGTCGGTACAAAGCCCCAAGAGTGCCATTAACTCGTCTACTGACACTGTCCAAGTGCCCCTCCCAAGACAAAGTACGGTCAAAGACTACACCCAAGTTTTTCACGTTTGAAGAATAAGGAATTACCACCCCATTATATAACAAAGGCGGAGTTGCATTCATATTAAGTAATGAAATCAGCCTTGGACTACCAATATAATAGCCTGGGATTTGACAGGATTCACAGTAATTCCAAAACTTTGAGACCACTCCCAAATTCGAGATAGATTTTGATTCAGTTGCAAAATGACCCTATCCAAATTCTCAAGTTTATCTTGAGCATACAATTGCAAATCATCAGCGTACAGATGATAAGAGGTTGAAAGAGTAGATGTGAGAAAATTTATAAATAAGGAAAAAAGAAGTGGAGAAAGAACGCCGCCTTGAGGCACACCAGCAATTAAGTCAACCCAATCGGAAAGCGATTGATCAACCCGTACTGATTGCTGGCGCCCGCGAAGATAAGATGAGAACCAAGCAAGCACAGAGGAAGAACATCCAAGCTGAGCGAGAAGAGCAAGTAAGACGTCATGGTCAACTGAGTTAAACGCATTGGAGAAGTCTAGTAGGACTAATACAGTAAGACATGTATCATCCATGCCATCACGTATATCCTCCACGATTTTTAGAAGTGCTGTAGTGGTGCTGTGTCCAGGTCGAAATCCAGACTGAAATGGGGATAGAAGCTGGTTGCGAAAAATGGAAAAGGAAAGTTGTTTATGAACTACCGCTTCAAGTACCTTACCGTACCCTACCCTTATAGGTTAAATATTAATATAATTATCGTATTTCGAAATGTGCTTATGTAATCGTCCTATTTTTAAGATTATAATAAGCTCATTCGTTTTTGTATAAGCTATGATACCTCATCCTTTTGATAGACTTATTATCAAAATGGGAGGGTGGGGACGATTGTAACGATTCTCATGGGGACGGTTGTAACATTCATTTTATAATATTTTTGTATTGTGGATACCTAGGAAACGCATAAGAAAGACTTCGGGAGGTAGAAGTGACATTTTGTCGTACAAAAACACTTACGACGAAGTTAAATTAGGGGCTTATTTAAAGCAAGCTGCAGAGATGTACGGCGTTAACTATGTATCTCTTTTGAGATACAAGCGAAAGTCGTATGCAGTTAATTAAGATTACCAAGAACAGGTTGCACGTGTTAGCATGGGATATGTAGCTCATAATAGAGTTTTTTGCGAATAACAAGAGCGGTATTATTGACTTCTTTGCCTAGAGACGTATTTTGCTACTCGCTCTGGAGAGAGTTAGATTCAATGTCAAGGAGGCTGCAAACAATGGTCCCACGTAGCTTGTACTGATGGGAATATATATTATGTATGCCATAATTGCGATAAGTTTGATTTAATATAGAAAAAAACTATTGTATAACCTTAGATATTGTTGATTAACTTTGATTAATTATTATTATTTAAAAAGACTTTAAATGTTGTTATTTTGTATTTAGTGCATTAAGTTATTTTTTTTAATAAAACTGATTTATTACGTGGGGTTTATATATTATTTTTTAGCGTTACAACTGCCCCCCATAAGTGTTACAACCGTGGGGGGGGGGGGGGGTTGATTGTAACAATCGCACACACTCTTTAAAACGGCTTATTCCTGCTAAACTGTCTTACCTAAGCTATTGGTTTTGATATTAAATTAAAGACAAATAAATATACTTTTATTTCAAAAACTTTGGTGGTTGTTCCCAGTTGTGCTGTGCTGTGGACAATTAAAGAAAACTTGTTACAACCGTACCCAGCCTACCCTATACGGGTATAGAGATTTAATAAATTAAACTACAAATTGATATCTGGTAAACGAAATCTTGAGCAGAAATAATTCATAAACACTTTCGATGGGTAAATAGCTATACAAAGTTATAATTAGTTACGGTATTATAATACTCTTAAATTACCTAAATACCTAAAGAACGACATTCCATATACTTGATTGTTGAAATTTTGAAATAGCATATACTCGATTTATAAATGCATATAAAATATTTTGGTTTAGTTTTCAAAGCCATCTTGTTTACGTCCAGAAATTTTATAACGAGCGGCAATACAGCGAGGTGGAATATACGCAAGCACGGCGTACTAGCCACGACTGGCGAGTTCCCACTCGTGCCTTGAACTCCTATAACTTCGATAATTTTGTGTGTGCGTGCAACGACGCATACGCAAGGGCGCGCTCACATACAAACCATTTTCGGTGCGTATGGATGAAGAGCACTTACTCTTATACTCTGTCTGTGGCCCAGTGCTTTGGTTCTTATGTTGAAATTGGCATGAGACTATTTTTGTCAATACTTTTTTGAACACCTCTGGTAGTAATCAATTGCTTTCCGACCCCCAATGAGTGTGTATTGAGTTCCATTCTCCATTAGCAATAAATCTATTTCCCTGTGATCTGAGGTACATACTGAACCTTTATCTATCTTGGGTTATGGTAGAAGGTAAACAGAGAAGTCGATGTTACCGAGCTTGCTTTGGACTGTTACGGTCGTTGCCTGAATGGCTTCAGTTTTAAAGTAAAGTGATTCTTAGTGTTTAATTAGTCACACCATGGGCTCTGTCATCGGAGTGTTTGGTATTAGATATGGTATTATGTTTTATCCTTATAAGACTTGTTTGTGAAATGAGTTTCAGATACAAGTAGAATCTTGAGGTTATGTAAGTGTAGCAGGGTCTTGACTTTGCTTTTGTTGGGAGATGTTCCACATTTTCACGTATAAGGTCATAAAGATAGTTATGAGACTTAGTAGAATACTCATTAGTTGTATCATTTTTTTATCTTCTGTTCAATGTTCAAATGTTCACATTGGTTTTGAAGCGAAACTACAAAAAAAGAAACAGTATACTAAAAAAGATCAACCTCTGTTAAATCATGATTTAATGTTTAAATCGGAACGGGTCTTTTTTTTAAATTTAGTATAAGCGACATACTGAAAGATAGCGTGTGTGTGTGAGTGAGAGAATGTAACTATCAAAAAATAGTTAATGCGCTCTGATTGGTGTAGTTGTCATTGAATTGTAGTACCTGAAACATTTTACAATAAAAATGTGTAAGTTTCAGAGGAAGTTATTGGTCAGGGAGATTCTGACAAATGGTCAGGGAAAGTCGGGGAATTATTTTTTGGCATTTAGAGTGGACACCCTGACAAAATAAGGTTTACATTTCATTGCTTAGTAAATAAAAGTAAAATATATTATAGATATTTATCTACTTATGTGAGTGGTATAAGGGGCCATCCATAAATTATGTCACATGCTAAGAGGGGTGATAGGGTCAACGAAGTATAACATTACAACAATAATTAGTAGTCTTAATACAAAATGTTTAAAAAATCCACTTGGTCCCTGGCATTCTGAGATGATGAGAACGCTCTGTAGTAGCGAAAAGTAACAAATGTTTGAAAGATTCGTCAGTCCTGTTAGGTCCTGAGTAGCTCAGTGGTGAGAGCAGTCGCCCGGATTGCGAAAGGTCGTGGGTTGGATTCCCATCTCAGGGTGCCAGGGACCAAGTGGACTTTAAGCATTTTGTACTAAGAATAATTTTCAGTATGGCATTGTGAATGCAAAATTAATCGAAATATAATAATTACTAGATTTGTATAGAAAAAGGGGGGGGGGGGATAGAAATCTTTAATTTTAAGGACAGCCCATTGTACTGTTAATTCGGAAAAATTTTAACATCACATCAAGTTACTGATATATGACAAATTTCTACAAATTATTAAGAAATTTGATATTTAATCACTTAAGTTTGTAGTTGGTTTGAGAATTTTGATAGTATTAGATAACCAGATATGCTAGAGATTAATCTTCACATACATTCAATATTTTTATGATAAGAAAGCAAAATAAAAGCGTACACTACAAATATTCATCAAAATGATTGCTTGCAGGAAACGAGATTGAAATTCCAGCTGGAAAACAAGTGTACAATTTTACGTGCACTTTACCACCTGTTCTGCCTTCTTCGTTTGAAGGGGAATTTGGTTATGTTAGGTACACAGTGAAAGTAACTTTGGATCGACCATGGAAGTTTGATCAAGAAACAAAAATGGCGTTCACTGTTATAAATGCATTGGATCTGAATTTAAATCCATCTTACAGGGTAATGTTATCTTCTATTTAATTTATTCAACTTTTGGGGTGTTGGCGACTCCTACGTTTAATTTGATAAATAAAAGTAAAGGCGAGTTAGTCTGATTCAGTTTAGTTGGTTTTTATTTATATTTGAACTCAAGAAAAACACAATCCACTTCCATATTTCGATAAGATGAATTTATATTGTAATAAAACTGATCTTGCAGGAACCGATCCATATTCAGTTAGAGAAGACTTTTTGTTGCTTTTGCTGCGCTTCACCTCCAATGTCAGTTGATGTCCGAGCGCCTGTCTCTGGTTATTGTCCTGGTCAAGTTATTCCAATAACAGTGGATATTGAAAACAAAAGTAATGTGCAGCTGCATCTTGTTAAGATTTTTCTGAGAAAGGTATGAATCTTATGAAATTTCATCTAATGGTTGGTTTATCAAGAGGTGGATCACATATTTTTATAAAATTTCACATCCCTCATATTTCTTTTTCATTAATCATATTATTATCATTGATTTTAAAAATAATTGGATAACAAAACAAAACTGTTTATTTACATAACAAAATAACTATTTGTAAAATACCTGTATCAGGAAGTTTCTGCTCTTTAAGGCCGTGTATATATGAATTAATTAATTGAACAATAATATGCGTCTTTGCTTACAAAAATACTTTTTATATAATAATTAGGTTACTACTTCCTTTCATTCGTGCGTTGGCAAAAAACATTGGTGCTGCTGAATAATAAGCATTCATTCCTTGTATGAGGGCATAAAATAGAGCAGATGAATTTGATGGTTCTAACTACTATAATTCCACACGAGGCCCATGTGGTGGACAGTAGCCCGTTCTTCCTACTTGATTACATCCATATGGAAGGCTTTTATTGCAGCAATGAAGACTTAATTGGGTGATCTAGATTATTATTAAAATGTAATTTTATGTTACATCTAGTGCAACATTCCATGATCAACACAGTTTTGTCTTCATAGTGTTAACTCTGTCCACCATAACTATGTCCATAAAAAAAAAATGGAAAATTTCGAACCATTTAATAAAACAATTCCATGAAGATTGTCTGTACACAGACAGGCAATAGGAAGTGTAAGGTTCTATCTGCATTGTATCATAAATTATCAAAAATAGGCTCGAAAATGAAAATGTCTTTATTCAATTAAGCTTATCACAAGCACTTTTGAATCCTCAAAGTTTTTTACTGCCAGATTTAAATACTTTGAAACTGTTGCGTCACATTAATAAGTTTTATAAAACATTATCATTATGTCTAGGTGGTTACCTACCGTGCTACATCACCTTCTACGGTAACGAAGAAAGCTAAAGAAGTAATATTGACGGTACAAGAGGGACCTGCTCCCGCGGGCAGTACGAAGCATTGGAATTTATCACTCGAAATACCACCCATTCCACCATCGAATCTCGTCAACTGCAATATTATCGATTTAGATTATGATCTCAAGGTGAGTTCGAGAATTTTATAATCGGACTAGAATTAGTGCCACTAGTTTACGACGTCACAAATCACAGCATCACCGGAAGTATCTGCCCATCGTCCTTTGCCTCTTTGCCCTGGCAAGGAACGTAATATATGCTTGTCTTTATGAATGCAAGTTTTATAAAATATTATATTGAAGAGAAATTTATCTTACTGTACACTAAGATCTTTTATACTACACAACAAATGCTGCTGTTTTCAGCAACAGATAGTGATTCAAGAGGAAGGTTTATATGTATAAATACAGATTAATATAAATACAATTTAATACAGATCACGTGGGCGAAATCGCTGGCGCAAAGCTATATATAATCTTAGTATGTTTGGTATAAATCAGATTCAGAATAATTTTCTCCTATAAAGATACTCCTTCACGTTTAAATTGTCACTAAAAGTAGGAGGTAAAGTACAATTTAATGCAAAGAAGGGCTTCCTTTGATAAAAATATGGCTGTTTTCTACTATAGACTCTGAATCATTAAGACTGAAATAAAACTGGTTCTAAAGCTATAGATGGATAATGCGATGGCAAGAGTAGGTAATGTTAATTCTACTTCCTAGGCAGCAATTGAATTCATTAGAAGCATTTGTTACATAATATTTGTGATGTGATGTAACATATCGACGCTGGAAAGCAAACACGTAGTAACCCGCAAAACCATACTTGTTCTTCAGAGCAGAAAAGCTTTTATTTTTCTCGATAAATAATCCCTATAAATGTCCATGGTAATAAATAAGTGTTCCTTAGTCAATTTATACCGAAAAAAGTTTTTTTATTTTGGACAAATATAAAGATTTTCCACTCTAAATATCCATTTTGGTTTTGTGGGTTACTACGTGATTGCTTTCCAGCGTCGATATAATGTTAAAAAGAACCCAGTCTATCAAAACTAAAAAAATTAGTCATTTAAGTTTTGATTTCGTTATTGTTTTTTCTCTATTGAACAAATTAAAAATTTAACAATAATGAAGGTTAACAAGTAAGTAGAAATTTGATATCGACGCTTAAGAACCAAGACCATCTATCTACAAAAAGTCGATTTTACAGGAGACGAAAAAACGTTTCATATTTTTTCTACAACAATTTTTTTTATTTTTATATCTGATCAATTAATGGATAGGCATAGGAAATAAGGTGTTTGCATGTGTTTCAAGAAATCTTCATTAGTTTCAAGATTACTGTAGATAGCTGGGTATTAGTTAAAATATTTGCATATGTTTATGCAGCTAACTGTAATATAGATGGTATTGGCAAAGGAAATAATATAGTTCCAGCGCCTGACCTCCGCACAATGTATGCTCTTAGTACCTTCTTTAACATACTGCAATGTCGAGTATTAGAAAGCCCTTGCAAATTTTATTCACAAGCTCTCCGTCTATATTAGTTAGGCACCTAAGGTAAGAATGTAATGTAAAAACTTGTACCAATAACTTAGGAAGTGTTTTAGTTATGCGGTACACACTCACGCCGAGAAGACTCGCCGGACCTTGAAGTGAAATAGTTGCACCGTTTACACTCACGGTGAGTTCTCAATAGATCTCTCTGTTCTCGGATATGGATGACTTTACTAGTAAAGGCGCTTTGGTATACATGCACTAGCATTGTGACTAAAAAATTTAAAAATGAGGCCCAGATGAGAGTGGATGGTAATCCAAATAGAAAAAGGTCGTTTAATATACAATGAACACACTAATAATTAAATATTTAAACCCACGGCGCTCTGTACCTCATATGTTCATAAGTTTTGAGACAAACTTTTCGATGGAGGGAACGGAACCATTACGTGCAACTGTCATTTCGATATTTAAGGCGGAAAAAAAAACCGCTGCAGATTTTCCGCGAGCTGAAAAGTTTTCCTGTAACAACCACACAATACATACAAAGACACAAGTTCACTGCAAAATCGCCAGAGGAGTGGTCGGCCACGCTCTGTCAGGACGCCTGCGAACATCAAAATCATCCGAGAGAGCCGAAATCCATGTCGCTCGCTCTGCAGATTTATATTTCGCGCGTTTCCGTGAACAGATTACTGAAATATGATTTTAAGGTAAAGGCCTATAGCCGTAGAAAAATTCAATTTTTAAACGATCGTCTTCGTAAGTTACGACGCGAACGTTGTCCATTGCTGCTGAGGAGACGTGATGCCAGGAACTCTTCACCGATGAGAAAATTTTTACTGGCAAAGAAAAGTTTAACCCAACAAAACAAATGGACGCTAAAAGTAGCAAGGATGTCCCAGCTTCTGCACGGAATTGAAATTGAAATTCATTTATTCTAGAACAGACACAAGACACAGTTCATGTAAAAAAATGATAATAAAATAAATGTGTGTGTGTGTAAGCGCGTGCGTGTGCGTGTGTTTTTTATTTATTAAAATATGCATTAATGAATGAAATTGAGAATTGAAAACATTACATATCTATAATAATTACTAATTAAATTGAAGACCTAAAAATAAACCACAATGCAATTTAATTTGATTTAAGGGCACCTGTGACCATTGACTAGAATAGTTCACATTCAAATATTCAAATGGAAGAGAAAAAGCCACACCACAACATTTAGCCTGCATCACACAATATCCTACAGATGTTATAAATGCGAAAGTTTATGTATTAACGTTTGAAAGAAACCTATATATAAGAAATATCCATGTTGATATGAGAAGATGCGAACCCGAGAACGAGAAGGCGAGAAACTTATCACATTCTCGTGTCTCGGGTGTTGGGACTTCTCGGCGTGAGTCTGTAGGGCCTATGTATGGGGCCTATTATTTTGTAACGCATAACAGTTCATTTTGCAACTCGCAATAAGAACGAATAATTACGTGTTATGTAGATAGGTGGTATTTCCGTACAATTATTACGACACGTAACTAAGGTGGTATTGGTATTTTCTCATAACTCCTTATATATTGCGAATTTGAAATAATCGATTAAAGGAAACGATGCGTAAATTAACCATGAAAAGAACTGCATTAAAAAGAACTACCAATACATTTTCCGAGTGCCGTTTTACCATTTTTAATCAACTAGTTCTCTACTTAGATTTTATGCGATAAGAGCGCAATTAAATCAAATCGTCACTTTAAAAATTGCATTTTCACTCTGTTGAGGATGACAATTTTAAAATCTCAATCGTTTGGTTTGAATTTTTTTGAAAATTCTAGCACATAGGTCAGTCTTTTTCCTTTTTATATTAAGAAATAAATTAACAATAATAATAATAATTATTAGTATGTATAAAACAACGAAGGTGGACTTTAGATATGCGGCACTAAAAGTCACTCCACGCTGAACTTGTATAAAATACAGATGAAACTATGATATCTAGTAAATAAAAAGCACCTGTGAGACCTTTTTTTTTGTATCGTAGGGGGGAATGCTTTATGCATTGAACCTGGTGTGTGGGACTATTCACACGGACCCGCCTAAAGGCTAGTCGAAACGCATACCCACTAAACCCCCTCCGATGCACCGTAAGTGTGGGGGAAGGGTGTAAGATCCAGCAGGAAATTCTTCACACCTTCTAGACCTGAAAGTTTCTAGATATGGTAGTTTCACATTTAAAGCAACAGACGCTCGATTCCATTAAATATTCGTATAGAATCGCACGTATTGTATTGTACAGTGCGTGCTCGGTTTGCGCTCAGAGCTCGGTGGCTGGCGCTTGTTGTTGTTAAGCAACTTTTGTAATGGTTGGTCACGGGATGGGTGACCAAAAAATTGCTATCTCGAGTTTCTCCGTGCATTGGTAGGTACGTTAAGCCGTTGATCTCGGCTGTATTTGCAGTGGTGTAACTCTCCAATCCGCCTTGGGCCTGCGTGGAGGCCCATCCTCCTTAACCATCCACAAGGAAGGCCTAAGCACCTGCAAGTGGGGACGTAAAAGGGCTGATTATGATGATGATGATGTATTGTACAGGTGGAATGCGTGGTGTCAGGCATGCACTTGAACATGAAGGGCAAGAAGTATGTAACGATCGGTACAGTCCCGCTGGTGGCAGGAGCGGGAACAGCGCCGAGTCCCGGCGGTGACACGGCGCAGTACTCGCCCTCTCAACCCGCCGTACTACCTGTAGCGCCCGGTTACCCGGCCCAGCCTACTGTAAGCTCAACTATAAATATTATACAACATTGCATATATTCAGCAGGCCCAGATCTACGATTTGTTTCAACCGGGGCAGAATCTTCGACTGGCTTCCATTATTTATAACCCTATCACATGTATGAAAATATTTGTGAAGCTCTTTCTTATTTAACGGTATTATAACTAGTCCAGCAATAAATTGTTACTGGCTGTTTACATATTTTATAAAAAATATTAATTTGAATTTCGAACATAAATTTCTAGGATAAAAAATAGACTTCTTTAATAGTGGCCAACGTTCAGCGAGGCCATCATCCAGAAGACGTCGTGGTTTGGTGGGGTGTCTACCAAGTGTATCCTACCAAGGGGTTACAAAACCTCATTTTTTCGAAAAAGGAGTGAAAACTTGAGCCAAAGTGTATAAAGATACCGTGTTAGAAGCGGTACTTAAACCTCTCAACAACACCTTATTCAAAAACGAAATGTGGACATTCCAACAGGATTCAACCCCGGGTCATAAGACGCGCACTACCCAAATTTGGCATGAGTAAAATGTTCCAGACTTCATAAAGGCTGATGATTGGCCTTCGGCTAGTCCTGACTTAAACCCTTTGGACTAATTGAATCTTTCTAATTAACCAGGCGCCTTCAGCTCCGAACGGTGAATCAGCTCCGGGCGGGTGGGTGGTTCCCGGGGCAACGCCGCCACAAGCACCGTACCAAGCATTGTACCCCACACTATGTGAGTACACTAACACCCAGTTTCGGAATTGAGTTAAGAATGTCTCAAACTATACTTAAAAATAATATTTAAACAGGTCTTCGTTTCAGATTTTAGTTTTTAATGATCAGTTAATAGTAGTTTGATAAAACTAGGACTTTATGACTTGTGTAACTGTTAATAGTACGAATGAAACGATAGGCTATCTGTAACACACTGTTTATTCGATGATGCGCTTGCATCGGCGCGAAGGGAAGGGGGTGCGGGACGCAGCCGCGCACTGCAGGGTGTATATACTATGGGTACTATACTGTATACATACATAACAGTAACATAAAAAAACTTATGTTGATGTGATTTTGTACTTCTCTCAATTCAGAAACAGGCAAGAACTGGTACTTTTTAGAGGTCATTCGAGCACAACTTAATAAATATGTAATTATTTGTTGTGTTATATAGTTTTGATTAATATGATAATATTTATTCAAAGAATGTTAACTTCTGACTTGTTGAATGTAAACTTCTGAATGTAAACCCTCAGACTGAGGGAAAGTAAAGCAGAGTAAAAATGTGATTATTGTTTTTGTCGATGAGACCCGTTGATGTGTCTGAATAGAACTAACTTTCCTTCTACTCGTTATTGATAAGTAAAAATTGACGGAAAAATAAATCAGGAAACGATTTTTATTCAGTTCGTGAAGCAAAGATAATTTGATATTTATTGTTTTAATCTGTAGATAAGCTTCCCGTCCTTACTCTATTTTTTTGCTCCTGAATTATCTCTCCCAGGAATAATATATGTCGTTAAGTATTTTAACATCTTTAGTTGAAAATTCAACACTTATTTCTGATAATGACAGTTACAATTTTCCTATTATCTATATCCTGTATTAGTGTTGATATGTCCAGTCAAATTTCTCCACTTGATTTTAAACCATAATGCATTACAGGTGGAGATCAAAATCAATGTAGAAAAATTGACATATTCCGTGAGCACTAATATAAATACTTTGACATATGTATATTGTTCGTGGGAGAAATACTTCAAGAGAACTATACGGATTAACCACTTCAAATTCTTTTTCGATATTATTTGACTGTAAGAAATGTTATTCCGCAACTTCTTAAAATATTTTCGTTTTGAATATTTTCATTACGATTACAGCGGAGCCCGTATACAAGGCGTCACCGTACATACCTAAAACAATTCAAGATAGAAGCGACACAGACCACACCAATATAACAGGACCAAAGTTTGCTCCGTACTATCCCACGTACGCAGCCGTCCAACCACCTCCGCTACCTCAGTGAATTATGTATAATCTACATACACTACACGCACTTAAGATTTTTGAGCTTTTTGGCATTTAATAACCAATTAATATTATGAATGTACTACCTCTTATATATTACACAAGGTGGTACTTAAGGAATGTCGATCTATATGGTGATTTATTACTTTTTGAGATGATTATACTAAGTTACTATAGACAAGGGCAAGCAAACGAAGATATATACAAAGATATTAATATTAACACGAATCTCTGATAAGGAATTATATTTTTCCATTCCTTGTCATGAAAAAATACCGTCCATTATAACATGGCACTGATTTTTGTTTAGATTGTTTTTGCATTTATGATTTTTGTGAATAGTATAAAAGGGTCTGTCTGTAATGGCTCGCAAGCCAGTTTCAAGTCACAATCTCTGAAGTTTCGGGTTCGATTCCCGATTTTAGAAAAAAATATATGGTCTATGTTGTTTTGAGTCTGGGTGTTTTGGAATCTTCATTGTTGAATTTCCATAATACAAGTGGTAAAAGGTACTTTATTTGGGATTTGAGACTATGGACATTGTACTGGTTACTATGTATTTTTTAGTTTTGTAACGTTACAAAGTCAAACTTAGTTTTCTCTTTCCAGTGAAGAATGTAATATCCAATTTTGAAACATTGAGAAGACTGTTAGATACGGACAAACATCAGTGCCAAAAAAAAATAACTAACTGTATAGTAGTGTATAAAAATTGCTAAACAACACATTACGTTTCCTCAACGTGCTTTAACTTCAGATCAAATAAATTAAAGATGGATTCAGACGATTTTTATCCAGTATTTGGTATTGACCTTAAACACGTTACATAAGCTGTCTTCCATGAAAATAGAAAAACTATTTCAGTTAGTCCTTCTACTAATATTTTGAAGAATTTACAAGTTATATATAGAGGGAAGCGAATGGACTCGTTGCCCTCTCCCTTTTCTGCGTCTGCACAATAGATTTCATTCTTATCTTCTTTTGTCTACGACACGTTAAGGAAACATTTAGTGTTACACAGACCTATGATACAACTGCTTTGGTGCTTTTAGAATCTTGTTAAAATATGATATAAATGTTATATTCGCATTAATTTGTTTTATGTAATCAAGATATTTATGAATAAATAAAATATTATGACAATAATCTTTATTGATTTTCCTTCACAAAAGTAAAACTATAAAATAAATCTTGCAATATAAAATAACTATCGGTAAACAGTATGGATAGAATACAACAGTGGTACAGATATTATTATTTCATACGTGTTGCTGGCATTTAATAAACAATGATCAGCCAAAAGTGTTGTCTCTTCTTTACCAATATTATAAAAAGGAAATATTCTTTTGTTTGTTTGCTTTGAATAGACTCTGAAACTTCTGGAACCATTTTAAAAATGGCTATAATTTATGCGGGCGAAGTCGGGGGAAAACACTTAGTATGGAACAAATATCGGCATGTCCAAAAACCGTTTAACAGAAGTTCATAAAAATCAAAACACACAGTTGATAGTGTAAGTAGAACTAAAATAGCGTACTGCCTTTAACCTACTAATTTATTATGGTTTACCCCTTTATTGGATATATTAATTTAGTTCCCATGAGAACTGCAATGAAACAGTCTGCTTTAACTGGAAGGTAATTTATATAGAATCACTAAACCGAATTATGTTACGGATTCTTTGTAAAAGCTTTAAAATATACATAATTCACGTATTTGTAATTTTCTAATTGCAGAAAATGTTTAAGGTCGGACTGATTTTTTTTCATTGCGCAATAGCAAATATTTTCATGATAACAATATGATGTGAAATAGGCAATCATTAAGCAATGAACGTGCTATTTATCAAATTATTCAAATTTAGGAAAATTTAATTATACAAGCATAAATCGAATGAATAGGTAGCACAGCAGCACATTAGGATTCTAAAAAAGGTTATATTTTTCTGACAATTTTGCACTAAACCACGATTAAATTTAGATAATAAAATTTCCCAAATTTCAAATTGAGTCACAATTTTTATTCACAGGAGCCTTATTTGATGAAGTTAAGTAGCATATTTATTAAATTATTAATTAGCACGAAAGAATAAATATTTGTATTTTTGGTTGCAATGAATTAACTCAAAAGCTGTAGGCCCAATTTCAAATATTTGTAAAAATCATTAATATTATATTATGATGAGTACATTTCATGGAAGTTGCGAGTTACTTAAACAACATTTTAAATTATGTTCCCACGGGAATTGCTTCTGTAGGGCATCGTCGTCATAATAGTAATAGGTCCTTATTATGTGTGCCATTTTGTAGAGGTACAAACCACAAAACCTCTCACTGATCACTGTTTTACCAATCACAATATGAATCTAACCAAAATGCTAATTTTCTAAACTTATAAAAACCACTGTTTTTATTTGAAATTTTGTATAAACAAATATTATATTTTTGGTAAACTGTAAGATAAATTCTATTGCATATTTCATAGTACATCGTAGTATTCTACCAGCTGTTATACATTAGTATTAAAACTTAGGTTCACACTTACAAAATATGTGGTGATAAAACATGACTTTGTGGGCTTCCTTTTTACTAGACAAGCAGTTCAAAATTAAAATTGTGGCATAGCACGAGAGCGTGATAGTTCAGTAAGTAGAGCGGGTAACAACAAATTCGAGTAAAGGGTAAGTGAGACGACAATACGAAGCGGAATTTTTCAACATTTTAGCGAGCAATTTTTTAGAGCTGCACAACTTGTCTAGTAGTACATGTACATAGAAGTTTTTGTAAATATGTAGTGTATACAGGACAGTAAATTTGTTTTTTTTTTTTAATTATACAATATCATAGTTTATTATTTATACAACTCAAATAAAGAGATGAATAAATTATAGGACATTTTATTAGTTTTTTTTTTCCTTTTAATATCTATATTTTAAACACAAAAAGAGTGTATTGAATAAAATTTTACTTTTTGAACTTTATAAAGGTTTTGAATAAAACTTCAATGAAAATTGTAAAATATGCACAGAACACTGTATACTGAAAATGAATATGTAAAAAATGATTATATTGGAATCCTCAGTTTTCTATTCAATTACAGAAGACGATCTGGTATACAAATTTAATAATAAAAGATAATCAAATAGTATATATTTTGTATCCTATTTTTTTGTTCATGTAATCTGGTAACCCCAAAAGGTTTTGAATTAATGATGCGAGTAAACTACGACTGTCCAACCACTTTGAAATGTTTCGAAGGACTATATAAAGTTTTTAGTTTTTGGGACTGACTTTTTTTTTATATAAAATGTGCGTTTCAAAAGTAAAATATCAACAAATTTTATTACCAACTATGTCTGAAGTTGAAGGACAACCTCATTTGAATTACCTGCAGAATGTTCAATTATTATTTTCTAATAAAAATACGTAAAAAAATCTTGTTGTATTGAAAAAGTTGGTTGATTGGGCTACAACAGCAAACATTTCCAGTACATGTCAACAGTTTCTTATAATAAACATGTTTACGTTCATACCGACACATTTTGTTAGTGTGAGTTTGTATGATGAAAAATTTACAAAAAAAGTTGATAATTTTTAATTAGCTCATAGGTTTTGTTGACAACATTTCAACCTAGGATTAAGCTCGGAAGTTTTGTATTTTGATGATACAATTCAAAAGTCGGGCACTTGACCAGCTTTTGTTGTCTTTAGTGGATATCGAGGTTTATAAATGTTATGTGCTAACATTTTACAGAAATGTACCTAAAATAATTGACACAATTAATTTAATTACAAAAATATATGATTATTTACTAGACATCACTCAGTGAAAATTACAACTTTTAAGGTTTTGATTTTCCCTACTTATGGAAAAGGTAGAATATAATGGGTGATTTGGGTTAAAATAAGAATGAATTACAGACTCAACTTGGTAAGTTCTTTTAAGGAATATCAAATCAAAAATATTTGGTTATTGTAATTTTTCTAATATTTATCACAGCATCTATGATATTTTTTTTGGATAAAGTGAAATATTTATAAGTATGATGTACTACTCGATCGTGATTTCTGGAGTAATTTATGGAACAATATGAAGGAAAAGCAACAACATTGTCCCGTTTATTTAAATGAGTTTTTGGACTTATTAAGTTATGTATATTTTAAAATATCGTCAAAGGGATCGAGAAATGGGGATAATGAGACCTCCGTGATGAACGAATATGGTTTGTGGATGAGCGGGCGTCGCTCGGAATATTTCATCGTGAAATTTGTTGGTAACTAAAAAAAAAACAAGAGATGGAATCGTACGTGACAGGAGATCCGATTTCACGTTCGATGAGATGCGCCGAAGCAGACGAGATGGAGATATGTTCGGACTCTAAACGGCAGGACGGCACCGCGCCGACCGTGTCGCGAACGAGTCCGCCGCTCCGTTACTGCGGGGGGACCACCGAGGGCGGGGGACTACTCCACCGTTCTCTCTCGGAGGCCGTCGGTCGATCGAACGAGCGGAGGCCGCTCCGCGCCACCGTCCGATCGAGATATCCTGCATTAGTTTTCCTGTGTGTCATCGCGAACTCGCACCCCGTCCGTCCCTCGAATACGGTGAATTTTAACGCATCAGAATTATCGCGGAGAGGCTCCGCGCGGAGTGATAGGCGGCGGCGGCGGGCAGGTCGGTCCCGAGTCCGGCCCCGGCGCTCAGTACGGCCCCCCGCGCGCCCTGAACCCGCCCTGGTACGACGAGTCCTGTGACAGCAGACCGTCCGGCTGTGACGGACAGTCCGGCGCCAGCGACTCTTGGCTGAAGTCCGGCTGCGACGCGCCTTGCGACAGCGACAGGGGCGGCTGCTGCGACAGCGGCTCCTGCGATAGACGCGGCGGGCGGCGGCGAGCGCGGGCTGCGGGCGAGGATGCGTGCGTGGCGTGGGGGGTGGGGAAGAGCGCGGGGGGCACGGGCACGTGCGGGGCGCGCGGGGGGCCCACGTACGCAAGCGGGTCCCGCGGCACGCGCGCGCGGTCGTACACCGAGCCCGGCACCAGCGCCTCGCGGGCGTCGAACATGGACGTTGACATGAAGTGGGAGCCGGGGTTCTGCGCGTTCACCAGTTTCTTCGGTTTCGCGAATTGGATCGCGGACTCTTTCAGGTTCGACAGTGGGCCCTCGGTGAGCACACGCCGCTCTTTGTAGAATGCGAGCAGGTGGTTCCACAGCGGCTGCTTGCTGAGCACCTTCGGGTTGCCGACGACGATGAGGCCGTACTTAGCACGAGTGAGGGCCACGTTGAGGCGACGCGGGTCGCTCAGGAAGCCGATGCCCTGGTGCTCATTGGAGCGGACACAGGACATGATGATGATGTCCTTCTCGCGGCCTTGGAATGCGTCGACGCTCGCGACCTCGATCTCCTGGTAGAGCTTTGCATGCAGACTGCCCTGGTACTGCATGTGCTGCACGAGGTACGAACGCTGGCCCTCGTACGGCGTGATGATGCCGATCTGTTCGGGACGCACGCCTGCCTTCAGGAAGCGCGTGGTCAGTTTCTCGACGTTCGCGGCCTCAGTCCGGTTCAGGTACGAGGTGCCCGAGCCGGCGATCTCCTCCTGTCCCTGCGTCACGTAGAAAAACATCGGGCGGTCGGGCCGCGGCCACGGGAAGTCGATCTTCGGCAGGCGGCGCTCCTCGGCGCTGACGCCGTTCTGCAGCGAGCCCTCGTAGAAGAAGTCTGACGGGAACCGCGACAGCTCCGGGTGCATACGGTACTGGACCTCGAGCCGGAACGGGCGGATACCGAGCACGACTAGCCGCTCGAAGAGGCTTTGGCTGAGGCCCGCTTTAGCGGCCTTCTTGCACATGACGACGGGCCCTAGCTGGCAGTGGTCGCCGACGAGGATGAGCTGGCGCGCGCCCAGGACGACGGGCACCATGCACTCGGGCTCGGTGGACTGCATGCCCTCGTCGATGAGGATGGACTGGAAGCGCATGCGCGCGACGCGCGGGTCACCGGCGCCGACGCATGTGGTGCACAGCACGTCGGCCGCGTCGAGCAGGCGGCGCTCGGCGGCGCGGCGCAGCGCTCGGTAGCGGCGCTCGTCGGCGGCTGAGAGCTCGCCGGCCTCCTCCTTGAGCCGCGTGAGCTTGCGCAGCTCACTGTCCGCGGAGCCGAGCGCGCGCGCCTGTTCGTGCAAAGCCAAGAAGGACACCGAAGACTCCATGGCCTCGCGGGACTTGGCACACAGGCGCACTACCTTGAGGCCGGTACGGTGGATCTTCTCGGTGAGCTGGTCCACGGCGGTGTTGGAGGGTGCGCACACGAGCACCGGCCCGCCGTTCTGCCGCACGAGCTGGTACACGATGGTGGCGGACGTCACCGTCTTGCCGGTGCCCGGTGGACCCTGGATCAGCGACAGCGGCCGCTGCAGAGCGTGCTTCACGGCGTAAACCTGGTGTCCCGGGAATATGATTGTTTATAAATCGATAGTCGATATGTATAATTCGGCCAATCCGAATGAGCAAATTCACCAAAATTTCGATCTATCTCATTTACACATATCACTACATCTTTACAATACGAGAGCTCGTGACGTATAACTAACAATATAGATCACCCAGTAACTGGAGACGTCATGTGGTGGATTCTCTACTAGTCAAAGTGTAGATAAATATAAAAACCTATTAATTTTATTACCTACCCATGCCATGCAATTAAGAATTTAATTTGGTTTTGTTTCTAAAACTAAATCTGGTTTATATTGTGCAACAGGTATGCTACCATAGAACGGTTGACTAAGTTATATCCGAGTATAAGTTCCACAGTTACAAGATCTTAAATCTAATGTGGTGGACAAAAATTGTTGATTAGTACTCCACTACATACTGAAGTATTAACTGTTACAAAGTTCTTGGGATTTTTTTACACAAGCTCTATAGCTATTCGTTTCCTAATCACAAAATGTAACCTAGCTATATTTTATAAACAGAATGAAGTGGATGAATATTAACAGATAATAAAAAATAATTGTGAATGGCCTTAAAGCTATAATTTTTTTTTGCAATAATTGATTTGTACACAAAAATTCGATTGTTTCATCTAATTCTTTCCTTCTAAATATAATATCATTTATGATTGTATTTTGTCGACTCTAGTTTTTGCGCTCAATTATATATACTTATCAGGCATAAAGACATAGTTTACCTGAGAACGATTGAGGTCAGGTAAGTTGGGCGCACTGAAGTGCTTAGGTAGATGTACGCGGAACAAGACTTCTTCAACTTCATGACCGAGCAGGCGACGGTAGATGTAACCAGACACAGACGAATCGTCCACGGCGAATTTTCGCAGAGCCAGCTGCATTCTAAATTAACACAGATTTGTCGATATTGTACTATTAAGGGCCAGTTTTTTGATCCGTGGTTAACTCAACCATTTGTTAAAATCTTTGACAAATGGTTAAATATCAGAAAAATATGTTTTTTTATTAATAGTTAGCCTAACCAATTGTCAGAATTACAACCATTTGTCAAAAAATTTAACCATCTCTGGAAGCTAGGTTAAGTAAGGGCCAGTTTTTTGATCCGTAGTCAAATGTCATTTAACCATTTGTTAACTTGACTATAGTTAAAACAATAACAAGTTGTTAACTCGCTATTGCGTTTTTTGATGCCAAATTTAACCATAGTCAAATTTAACCACTGGCCAATTTGTTGCCAGCACAATGAGTCGTTTTTTCGCTATACATTGACATGGGTAATTTTTTTCTGGCTGACAACACTAACGGTTTGAATGAACGGAGCGAACTATATACCATTTTTGACATTAGGATTTTGTTCTAAATATCAAATAGACGAAAGAAATCTATAGATTATCAAACAGTGTGGATGTTTATGGTTGTTCTGTTGTGTGCACTATGTGTTATTTTTTAGGAAATATAAGGGAATTTGTTTGATAATGTAAGATATGTTTTTTCCAGTTATTTACAAACTTAACTTTTTTATAAAAAGCATTTATTTGTTTTTTATTTATCTTATAGAGAAATACGTGAAAAGAATATAGTATCTAGTATCCAAGGTGGGATTATAATGTTGGAAATAAATCGAGGACTATGTATTTTATGTCATCATCATCAGCCCTTTTACGTCCCCACTGCAGGGGCTCAGGCCTTCCTTATGGATGGTTAAGGAGGATGGGCCATGACCCTCCACGCTGGCCCAATGCGGATTGGAGGGTATTTATGACTGCAAATGCAGCTGGCACCAACGGCTTAACGTGCCTTCCGAAGCACGGAGTAGCTTGAGATAATAATTTTTGGTCACCCATCCCATGACCGACCCTTGCGAAAGTTGCTTAACGACAACGATCGCGGGCCGCGCCGCTTATCCGCTAAGCCACCGGGCTACTACTACTACAGTATTTTATGTACTGTACCGAGCTACTACAGTATTTTATGTACTGCCTTACCTTAAATACCTTTTGTATTGTCTATTCGTGGAATTTAGAAGATTATTAATAATTGAATAATTTGGCATCTGCCTGTGGAAACAAGTAAAAATATTTCTATATAGTACAAATATACCTACTAAGGATGATCAAGATAAAAATATAACTAATTTTCAATAACCCTATAACCAAAAAATGACAATGAATATTTTCCTATGAAATTGCATCATAAAACGAAATCCCAAAAATAGCTAATGTCCAAATTCACTATGAATTCATGTAGGTTATAAAAACAACGTAAAAAACAATAACAAGGGACCAAGTAAATACAACGCAGTTGTACATCTGTTCTTTTAACAATTGGTCATTTACTTAACCTAGCTTCCAGTGATGGTTAAATTTTTTGACAAATGGTTGTAATTCTGACAAATGGTTAGGCTAACTATTAATCAAAAAACATATTTTTGTGATATTTAACCATTTGTCAAAGATTTTAACAAATGGTTGAGTTAACCACGGATCAAAAAACTGGCCCTAAATGACTAATGGTTAAAAGAACAGATGCACAACTGCGTTGTATTTACTTGGTCCCTTGTTATTGTTTTTTACGTTGTTTTTATAACCTACATGATTTCATAGTGAATTTGGACATTAGCTATTTTTGGGATTTCGTTTTATGATGCAATTTCATAGGAAAATATTCATTGTCATTTTTGGGTTATAGGGTTATTGAAATAAGTTATATTTTAATCTTGATCATCCTTAGTATATTTGTACTGTATAAAATATTTTTTCTTGTTTTCAGGGGCATATGCCAAATTATTAAATTATTATAAATTTTATAAAATCCACGAATAGACAATACAAAAGGTAAATATGCCTACAGTACATAAAATACATAGACCTCTATTTATTTTCCAACATAACAATCCCACCTTGGATACTAGTTACTATATTCTTTTCACGTATTTCTCTATAAGATAAATAAAAAACAAATATATGCTTTTTATAAAAAAGTAAAAATCTTTGTTGCTTTCTAACATTATTAAAGAAATTGCCTTATATTTCCTGAAATATAACACATGGTGCACACAACAGAACAACCATAAACATCCACACTGTTTGATAATTTATAGATTTCTTTCGTCAACTTAATATTTGGAACAAAATCCTAATGTCAAAAAAGGGTATATAATTTGCTCCATTCATTCAAACCGTTAGTGTTGTCACGCAGAAAAAAATTACCCATGTCAATGTATAGCGAAAAAACGACAATGTGCTGGCAACAAATTGGCCAGTGGTTAAATTTGGCATCAAAAAACGAAATAGCGAATTAACAACTTGTTAATATTTTAACTATAGTCAAGTTAACAAATGGTGAAATGACATTTGACTACGGATCAAAAAACTGGCCCTAAATAAACAGTTGATATTTTATTTTCTTAATTAGGAAACTACCCATTTATGTAGGTCCATTGTTTGTAAGATGGAATGAAACGTAATGAGAGAGAGGGAAGTGTGCGAGTGAGAGGAATAATTGATGACTTGCAAGATGACTGGACTGTTCGGAGCTGCAATTGTGCAAACTTGCCTTGATGTGTTTAGTACAAATTGAGAAGATATTTAATGAGAGTTAAAGGTTTCCAGAAATAGCCATTAAATTTTATTTACAGCCGCCCCAACAGTGCATTTAGATATTTTTTTAAAGAATATATTTGTTTATTCAAGCATACCTGTCAGCTTTGTATACTTTTAAAAATAACAATGTCACGAATAAATAGTGTTGACATCAAGATAAATCAATGATTATAACATAAAGAACGTGTTGATACAGCTAGAGACGAAAACAATAATATCATACCTGTCGAAAGAGGTGCTCTTCCAAATAAAATCGACGACAAAGTTTGACGTGCAATCTAGGGGAGCGCCCGCGCCGCTCTTGAGCTCTAGTCCGACGTCGTCGCCATAATTGTCAGGCACTTTGATAACGTGTCCCACACCTGACCACGCCTTGTGCAGTTCACCAACATATCTGGAAATGATTAACACTTAAAACAACAAAAATCTTATGGTCAGTATACCAGATGGAAGATGCATTGTGGAACATCAGAACTGACAAATAGTTGATATGACATTCAACGTAGCACATTCTATGAATGTTCCATCACATTCTAATACATAGTTCTGTAAGATACTTTATGGATTTTCTATCAAATATAAACAAACCCTTAATACATAATAGTGATGTGTTATTTAGTATTAATTGAGCGTTAACAATTATATAGATGTAAGAAAGAATAAAACACAAAGATACCTCAGTCTCAGTTCATCACCATGCATCAATTTCATATCGCTGTCAGTTTTAGCCAGTGTAAAGTAAGCAATGGTTTTTTTGTTGAGACCTACATCCCAGCGCACCTCGATTCCCTCCTGAGTCTGAGACTCTTTCAGTCTCTTGTCATAGTCAGCTTCCAATTTTACTAGTGGACCAAAGATGTTTTGGTATTGATAACCATCTTCGTATCTGAAAAATAAATGTTATGTTTTAAAAAAATTGACACTTTAGATGATTGATATTAGTGGACTGAATAAAGATGCTCATCATTTAAATACCTCAACAAGACTTGGTTAGGTTCTTCGTCCACTCCAGGTTTCTCCAGGTCTTGGAAAGTGGCATCAACATTGTCACGCCACAATTCCTCAAGACGGCCAATCTGTTGTGGTGTAACCTGAAAAAAATAAAGTCACCACTTTATATTATAGTTATGTGACTTTATAATTTAAAATTATTGTATTAATAAGATAAGGTTATGTTAGTTATGGGGGCTTCAATTTTCCACACTTCAGCTGTTTTACTACATCCAACCTAACTCTACTGAGGGTCCAGCCAACCTAAACCTTCTTAGGGTCTTCACAGGCTTTACAGGGTATTGAAGTGTTGCCAAGTATGTTTCCATAAAAATAATCATAATTCTGAATAGTGTTATTAATTTTAATCATGCAATTAGCTCTCTGTGCTTTTAGCAGATCAGGTTATGGATAAAAAATTATCTACTTGTTTTTGGGTAACGTTTGTTCTCCCAGTGAAGAATCAACAATGAAACCAGTGTCAATAATTTTGAAAATAATTACTTTAACAGTGCACAAAAGTACCTGGCGTGCTCTCATTTGCTCAGCTTCTGATGGCACTTTTACCAGCCAAGATAAGAAGGCTCGATCAGCTGTAAATAATTATTATATTTACTATTCTAATGTAGCTGAAATGTATCTTTTTAACACAGAATGCTTCATATATTCAAACTAAACAAAGCTTACTGTCTGTTGCACAAACATACATTAAAATTCTCATTAAATTAAATCAACAATACTGATACCATTGTTAAATTTTGAACATTCATTTTTAAAGGTATCATTAAGAGTTAAGGAATATTTGAGCAACTTTTTCTTTTCGATAAAACATAAAAAGTTGTAATTTCCACTTTTCTTTATTGATTTAGATATTGAAACACTATTATGAATGATAAATTTTAAAACTAAAATGAAAATAAACTTACAAATCAAAGGCTTCCATTGTTCTTGATCCCAATTCATGTCTTTCAAAGAACTTTGTGCAGCACATGGTTGCCTATAAAATTAATAAGTTAAGAGATAAAGTTAAATTATTATATTTCAATGAAGCCAGACTTTGTTTTAATTGATTATAAGGTAGTTATTAATGTTTTGTATTAACTCACCGACATAGTAGCACTACAACAGAATCAGCTTTAGCTGGGATGAACCCAAGTACAAACACATTGCGAGCACCGCAAGAGTAACATTCTAAAAGAGTTTCACCAAGTGGTCCATCACGATGCAAAGCTGCTTCCTTATGTTTGGCTCTAACCAAATGGTTTATAATATGGGAACCTGATGTATTGCCACGTCCATTGCAGAACCTATAATACATAAAAAGAAGGTATTTTAGGAGTTCTTACAACATATAAATATTCTTATCACATAATACAATTTCTTTTTGACATATGAGCTTTGAAAATTAGAGTTGCATTGTTGAATACCAAGTATTATTTTTAAATAATGCTGTAATATGTGTCAGTTTTTGATGTCTTAAATAGATAATAAAAAGTACATTTCAAGGTTATACCTCATGTATGACTCACCATTTGTTACATATATTACACATGACCACAGTTGCTGGGTCATGGATCCCACAATATTTACATGCATGGTCAGGGAGTTCTTTGCTGCTGTACAAAGTTTCATCTTCTTCCTCGAATTGCAGTTCTGCAATCGCATTAGTGACGTTGGATACTTTAGAAGTAAGATCACGTCCAAGACCGTTTACCTACAATAAAACGTGAAAAAACTCTTTTAAAAGGAGATATTACGTTTAAAATTGATTAAGGTTATGTGAACAACAAAGTTCACGTCACCTAAGTAGATACGTTATCAGCTGTACTGACCTGGTTGGATGACAGTCCATGATCATGTTGGGAAGCCTGGGTCTGGCTTTGAGAAGGGAGAGTGAAGTCAGTGAATTCAAATTCTGAACCTTGAGTATCAGCTCCTATCAGATCCGCTTCTTCAGTATCTAAAAACGTGAGCGTTTGCGAGCTCGGCCCGTACGCGTCGACGCTCATTATTTACCTGGCTTTACGGCTATAACCAAATGAAAGAAAAAATGTCAAAAAGAAAGGAATCCCACTCGCCGAAGCAGCAGTCCCATACCAGCAACGCAATAATTATCTAACAAGGTGTTGCGAACAATAATGAAAAGTCGCCATGTTAGCACATGTTTGTTTCCGTTTACAAACTTAATCATCATTGGTTAAATGGTAGAGAATTCTGAATTTCAACCAATTGTCATTAAGTTACGATTGACGTAAGTACTTTGCTCCAATAGAAATGTAGGAAAACAAAAACCATAGTGTATATTTCGTCCATTGAATAGGCGAAGGGATTTAGCCCAACCTATATTGCTCCTCCATGTTGCTAGTAGATTTTATGAAAACCATAGACATGTTTTTTGTTGTAGATTTTTTTCTGTATAAGAAAGTCGAAGAGAACTTAGTCCATACAGCCATTGTCTGTGAAGTTATAGTAATTTGTTTCGTCCATTAGGATAGGCGAAGAACCTAAGCAGTACTGCTAAATCTTGAATCTTGAGTAGATCATAGACGGTACCTAGTAATAATTATGTTTTAGGTAAAGGGAACTTAGTCTGGTCTTCTCCGCTATTTTTACAGCCAGTTGCAGAAACAATCATAAAGTTTAATGACGCCTTTCACCCGGTTTCTAAATTGAGAATTTCTAGTTTAGCACGTCCTAAACCGTATTTAAGTCATTTCTAAAGTCACTTAAACAGGTTTTCGTTTCTGATTTTAGTTTATTAATTATCTGTTGATAGCAGTTTGTTAAAATTGGGACATTTTGCTTTGTGAAACATGAAAAACTAAGTTATTGGGAATAATCGAGATTTTGTACTTTTCTCAATTCAGAAACCGGCCGTTTAAGTTCTAAAAAAAAAATCTAAATTTGAAAAGGTAATGTCGTTTCAGTCTTTAAAAATCGTTTGGAATGATGTTGTTTGTAAATTTAATTAAAAGTCGTATGGGCACTGAGTGTTAGTTTCCCGTTTTTACTAAAGCGGTGTTGAAATTTTTAAGGACTTTTTAGTTGACAAAAACCAAAAATGTTAGAGTGCAGAAAAACCCACAGGAAAGAGGTGACACGATCGCGTTCCTCAGCTATTTCAGGGGATACTTTTCTTGTTTAGAACTCATCTACCTATTATATTATTTCATTGAATCATGTCATGTCCCTACCGACTGTTTATTTCATTAAATTTTAATTATATTGTTTCACTTTTATGACACTGTCTCATAAAATAACACCACTTTGAAACAAAACTTACCTACTATTTCTGTCAAAAATGGTCAGATTATTTTTACAATTTTTAATTAATTAATCGATTTTTAATACACATTTCCCTAGGCATCAGATAACGTTTACTTTATTTTGAGTAAACAAATCATGAAAGGGCTGTATCTACTCCATGGGCTGTATGCAAAATATCATTAGGTTTGCGAGTAAATAATTAAAAATAATATTTTCGCATTTCCTATCCGATCATATAGTGTGTAAAAACCACCATTTAGCTATTCTGTCTTTAGTCTTATTGCGCTATTAATTTCGTCTTGTTTTTTCTTTTATGTCTACGACCAGCCTAAACTAACATATATTTGTTCAGGATCCCAAATTAAACAGTTGGAGACATGCGTTAAGTAAATTTAAATTGGAAGTAATGAAGTACCTTTTTTACAATGGTTAAAGCATTACGTCTACTTAGTATGTGGGGCTCTCTCCTACTTACCCGTCTCCAGGGATAAGACTCAGAAACTCTTAAGCCCTACCTGTCAGACAGGAAAAGGGACATGCAATGCCTGGTAAGTGCGCGAATCTACCAGGAGGTCCCCTGTTGAAGATAGGAGATGCGCTATTATACAATCTCTCGTCCTAACCCCTCTATAGGGAAACCAATCTGGACTTTACCCTTGCTGGTTTACCATCTCCTTTCCAACGTTCCCCACAGCTCAAAGAGCGGGTAGGGTAAGCCAGGCCGGTCATCGATGTACGCAACCCCTCTCGGGCGCTGCTAAGGTCCCGGCTCTTTAGGTACCTACTTATCGATAACAGCAGCTGTTTTGTTGTGTGTTTGTACGTATTTGTAAGTAAGTAGTTGAAATACATTTACTTTCTTGGTTATAAAGTCCATAAAGCATAATAATTAACAAATGCAAGTTACGTTAAGTTCCTATATCATTTAAATATACCTACTAGATAAGCTAAAAAGTTTATATTTTAGAGTCGTTATTTGATCCATTGCGTAATTATTAGCATGTTCGTCTGTTATTTCTGAAGCTAATTAAATTTCGATCATTTATTATCATTTATTATGGGAGCTTCTTCGTGCGTGATTGGCCGAAGGCACGTTAAGCCAACTTTAGGTTAATAAGGCAGAGTTCTGTTCACAAATCGCGGCTATTAGGGCGGGAGACTCTTGGCGACTTGGTTATTTTCGCGTGAACTTACCAGTTGGGCGACTTTGATTTTAGAAAAAAAAATAGGTTAAATAATTATTATAGACAAGATGGCGACTGTGTCGGTCATAGTGGTTTGACTAGCGCTAATATAATTTTTATTGCGATTTTTATGAAAGGTGCGTGCGGTCAGTGACCGTTCTAGCTTGATGGACCTGGATCGTGGGGTTTAAAAATACGGGTTATTTGAAAGCAATTAGATGATGTAAAATAGAAATTAGGATTTTTATCGTCAATTGGCACTTATGGAAATCATCTACGCTATTCTATTAAAAAACATCATCGAATACGACGCCGTGTACAGCACTATGACAACTAGCTTTAATAAAAAAAATAAATAAAACGTTTATTTCATTTCCAAGTAGGGTTTCTTTGATTGAACCTATAAAAGTTCTATGCTATGACAGCGCTGAGGTCGACGTCAAATTTGAGTCTGTTTTTTATCAGAATAGCTCTGCAGATTAACCCCTATTAACGTCATTAATGCAAAGGTACCTAACTCTGTTTGATACGCTTTCACTTCTAACTACTAAACCTATTTTAATGAATTTTGGCACAAATAACAATAATGCAAAACAGCGTTACAAGAGTATAACATATAACCAAATGTTAAAATCAATGAAGTTTTCTTACAACCATTGTCTATGAATTCACCGGTCGCAGCACAAATGAGTTTTAAGGAAAAATGGGGTATTTTGAGTATTCTTTGACTATAGTCCGTTTTATAATGTTACGGTATAACTATTAATAGTTTTATTGGATGGAATACATCAACCAAATTATCACTGAATGCCACACATTTCTGTTACAGAGAGTGCATTTTCATGAAATTCAACCGTTGGCATACTGCCAGTTCGTATATCAAAGAAATTTGGTTAAGATTAGATGTAAGGGGCAAGAATTAATTTTTTGTTTAAGTACTCAGACACAAGTGGTTATCTAAAACTATATAAAGTTTGTGTGCTTGTAAATAGAAGTATATTTTTGCATACATGACACATTAAGATTAAATAATTATCTTCCAATTCAATAGCTTATACTAATTTAACTATGTAAATAATCTGTATTTTTATGATGAATCTTTGCATGGTAGTAGACAACTGACGAAAATTATTTTCTCAAGCACTAAATCTTTTCAGTTTTTAAATGTGGTCAAGTACTGGGACGTTTATTATACATACCTATGTACTTATTATTATGTTTAAGATATTTGAAGATATAAATATTAGAGATGCGCCGGATAATGGTTTGACCGAATAATCGAAAACTATTCCGTTTAGCCTTTACCGAACCGGATGTTCAGCCGAATTATTCGGTTTATAATTTCATTCTTTTACCGCGTAAACCGGTTTCAAAGTAAATATTGAATTAAAATTTATTATTATTATTATTGAATTTAAAAAATTTACTCTATTATTATTATTATACTCTTTATTGCACTTAAAATTTTACATAAAACAAGTAAATAAATTTGTTACAAAGGTGGGCTTATCTCTAGAAGAGATCTCTTCCAGCCAACCTAGGAGTCGTGGGAGAGTAAGATGTAAGCGGGTGATAGAAGTGCAGTTAAATTATATTACGGTTGGAAAAAATATATATAATAAATAACAAAAATAGATATATATATAATACATAAAATATACACTACATATATACATACATATATAAGGTACGATGAAAGCAGTGTCATGAATACGAACATTGTTCCAGAAAGTAGTCTTTAAGTTTAAATTTGAAACACATGACGGAAGGGCAATCCTGAATATTCAAGGGAAGTCTGTTCCATAGTTGAACACCACGAACAGAAAAGGATTTGCGGCGGAAATTGGTGTTACATTTAGGTAGCTCAAGAGATTTGGTGACGCAGGGACGCCTAGGATGGTAAGGAGGAGGAAGATTCTGGAAACGGGAACTAAGGTATTGGGGTGAATTAGGATCTTTAAGGATTTGAAATAGGAATGAAAGGATGTGCATATCACGGCGAAGACGGATAGGAAGCCAGTTCAGTTGAGCACGAAAAGCAGAGACATGGTCGTATTTACGAAGTCCAAAAATGAACCGAATTGCAAGATTCTGAAGACGCTCAAGCTTATTCAATTGATCTTCATTCACATCTAGATAGCAAATGTCAGCATAGTCGAGAATGGAAAGCAGAAGAGATTGCGCCAGCATAATTTTGGTTTTAAAGGGAAGAAAAGATTGGAGTCGCTTGAGAGAGTGGCAAGAGTAGTGTATTCGTTTACTTACCTCAGCAATTTGCGGAGACCATGATAAAGTGCTATCCATAATCAAACCCAAGTTTTTTATCTTATCAACGAATGGAATTGGTATTCCATTGTATAAAATTTGAGGTGTACAATCCCACTCAAGTTTACTCTTCAGTCTGCTACTACCGACAATCATGGCCTGGCACTTTTCTGGATTGACTAAGAGACCATACGAAGTAGCCCATTCCTGTATAGAAACAAGATCCCTATTTATAGAAGCGATGGTGTCCAGAGCATCGGGGATGGAAAAGTGTTTATAAATTTGGAGGTCATCTGCATAGAGATGAAAAGGAGAAGAAATAGCGGAAGAGATATTGTTTATGAATATGGAGAAGAGTAAAGGTGAGAGAACTCCTCCTTGCGGTACACCAGCTGACAAGTTCAGCCACTCAGAAGAAGCATCATTGAATATTACGCACTGAAAGCGATCGA